AAACTTTAAATTATACCACGTATAAAGTTGCGGAAACGTGGAGGGGGACATCATGAGAGTTGGCCGGGGCATTACGGAATTCATCCTCTCGCTCTCGGAAGTAATGATCCATGATATTGGGTTCACGTTCGATGAAAGCGGATTTTCCCCATTCTATCTTTACTCAACATAGATATTTTGTTCTCATGTGCAGTTTTTAAATATTTTTTTTGTCTGCGACAATCTTTATATATTTAACACAATGTAATTCATAACCTTATATTAAATGTACAATATACTGTTCGATCAATCTGTTAATGCATTTTTATTCTTGTTCCCTTGAAATGAAAAAATATCTTAGAGCACTAACGAAGTAATGTATATAGAACAAACACAATTATACAAAATTAACAAAAATCACAACTCCTTTTCTTCAAAATAGTTATTTCCACAACTTATATGTACCCCATTTAATGTTTAAAACTGCATCAAAGAAGTCTTGCAAAGTATTGTTACTTAAGTTACATATTTAAATTATTATTTTTTTTTTCTAAAACGTTATTTTTTAACTTACATTATAATTTGGCATGCGCCTGGCCGGAAGTAAACAATTTATATATCTTGAGACTAAAATGCCAAACCCAGTCTTTGACGAGTATCATGTCTTAAATGACATTGAAAACCAATCTGATTTTCACGATTTAGGCGTCACGCTAAAAGATGTTTCAGGAACCTGCTTCCACCGTCTGAGGTCTCTGATTTTGTCTGGTATGCATTTGGTTTATTAACAGGAAATTAAAAATCGAAGGGTTTGTTTTTTTACACCAAACGCCATCTTTAGAATCACGTGACAGACTCTTCCTTAATTAAAAAAAAAATTGTTAAGAGCATTTCAGAGTGACAGTAAACAATTTGATTTTTAAAAAGAGTATGTTTGAAAATATTAGACTATAGTAGAAAGATTTGTATAACATTTGACTTTGTATTGTAACCCTAGTGCTAACAATAATACTAAGCTATTGGTCTTAATTTAAATACAATGAAAACATTAAATAACCAATTTTTTGAAATAAATTATACTAATAGTGTACGTTAAATTGTTAAAAACACAATAAATTTGCTTAAAACTCTCACAATTAACCTAACTTTTTTCAAAAAGAAAAATTACATTGCTTAAAAATTTGTATCAATTTTATTTATTGATAGTGTTTTTCTAACTCATTTTAGGATGGCGTAGATTCTTGTCTTGCCTGAAGTGTTAGACAGATTCTTGTCTTGCCTGAAGTGTTACACAGATTAACACAAGACCTAACGCTGTCTTCAACTGATAATGTGGCATCGGCTTATCTGTAATTTTTTAAGATTTAATTTATAAATATTTTTTTTTATTTTTCGATGACTTAACTTCAATGATATTTACTTTCAGTTTATTCTTAAGGATAAAATGTTTTGAGCATGTGCCAGTTAACTTAAGTCGTTTAATTTCTTTAAACATAAAAATTCCTTTTCTAATAACATTTAGGATAAACAAAATTGAGATGCACACTTTCAGAGACCGATTTTGTGTTAAATTTTGAATAGCTTTACGATGAAATTTGTGTGCCTCATTTGTCATTTGACATAACATTTCTACATTAAAATAGTTGAATTGCTTTGCTATACAGTATTAATTACCAGTATGTCAGTAAAAAAAACAACTATTTCTACCTTTTTTTTTTACTTTTTAACAAGTTTTTCTCTATAAAAATGTATTTTATTTGGTTTACGTTTACAGTCTTTTGTGCAATCTGTAATGGGCAATACATTAATATTTGATTTTTAACAATACTTATCTTACTTTTGTTGTCTTTTTGTTTATTGTTTAATAGCGTGTGTTCCTTTAATACTTTTCTTTTGTTGTATTTTTTGCTTGTTTGTGATTGTATTTTTAAATAAGATTTAGTTGATAAATGTGTTTGACTTAATTGATGAACCAGTTTTTTGTTTAACAATCTATTATCAATTCGTTATTTCTTTTAATCCTTATGATTTATTTATTTATATCCCTTATATGATGGACATATTTGTGTTGTGATTTTTTAAAGTTATTTATAAATGCCATGTACGCCTAAACAGTAAAATAAATATATTGCAATTGGTAACATGAGCTAAATGCTTTGCCGGGCTTAATTTTTAATAAAAATTTTACCATCTGCCCCGAGTTAGCACAGAACAACCTGGGTATTTGACAACATGGCGATCACAGGACAGGTGTGAAATACATAGGACAGCTTGGTGTATGACAAAAGTGGTCGTCGCATGAGGACAACATTTGTTCGTGTTATTTGTCAGTCTTAAAGGGACGATGGTGTGATTACACTGGGGATGCATTAGAGACGAAACTGCGGAAGCAAAAGATGTTTTTTATGTAGATTCAAAAGTTTCACCAGTCAGTAGAGCCCCTTCACAAATGCAGCTCTTGAAATCAAACGAACGTCAAATATATCGTATAGCTGACCATCCGAAGGATTGTATAACGCAAAATGTCATTCTATCTACAGAAATACATTTCTTGTCACCCGGGGAACATTTTAAAACTCTAGTCGGGCAAAAGGAAACATGTCTAAATGGCCACTAGATCTGAAGGATGGTGAGCAACACAATTGTTATGCAAAAGGGTACATGCCCAATGGGACCTGGATCTCAAGGTTGATGAACAACACACTGGTCATTTAAAAGGGAACATGCCCATAGGGTCGCTGGATCTTGAGTTTAATGAACAACACTCTGGTTAGGCAAAAGTGCACAATCCCAACCCTTCACTTCTGGTACCCGGGTTCGAATAGTCGATGCCTTAAGTTTTATTAATTAGTCACATTTGTAAAAACGCAATCGTTATATGAATTAATTTTCTCATGTCCCAAATCCATTTCTCAAAGCAATGTATTTCATTTATTTTATTTTTGTTAATTTTCTAAGTGGTTCATCGCTTATTTCAGAATATTTAAAGAAGATGTTCATATAGAAGTACATGTTAAATCCATACAAAAGCTCAATCTGAAACATAATCGGGTGTGGAGATAATGATATCAAAATGTAACCCCTCCCCCCCCCCCGACCACACACACACAAACATAAATCTTTACCAGTTTTTAAGCCTGGAATGATTTTAAGATACATAAAAATTTAATATAAATAGGTCACACATTTTAAATTTTAAAAATTATCTGGGTAATGTTTGAGAGTCTTAAAAATATAACCTCATCACCATTTTGCTATTTTAAGTATTTTAACTTGAAATTTCCATTTTTTTTCATAATAAATTAAATAAATTGCTTTTTGGGGATTAAAGTACATCTACCACTTATTAAATGTTTAAAAAAAAAACAAAGCTGAAATTGGAAGTTGTTTTTTTAAGATAAGTGTTAGCAATTTTAAAGTATGCAATCATATTTATTTATAATTGTTATTTTTTTAAGCATGTTTCGTTTTTTTTCAACTGGTTAAATTAACAAAATTTAATGATGGCATTTGCGAGTCTTTTAAGAAATTAGCAAGTATTTAGATTCAATCATATGGTTGTAATTTTGAATACGTCTAAGTACAGCTAGATCGTCTTAAATTAATTTTAAAACCATATAATTTTAATTTCACGATTATTTATAATGTAATCCCTTTTATGCAAAATACAATCTCACATTGAGGATTATACTAAACTAATATAATTTTATGAATGTATTTGCTTTCAAATCAATATTAGTAATAAACAGACACTAGACTTTTGTCAATCTCCTTTTATTAGACACTTGGGGAAAGCCCCAAAATCTGGTGTAGTAATTATGCTGTCAAAAGTGTATCAAAATATTTGAAAGCTCGGTCAAGAAATTTTAAAGCTTTGGATTTGCAATATTAATAATCCAATAATAAACTGGGATAACGAATTAACTATTACTGCATAGGGGACCATTTATTGATTTTAAAAAAGAGAATATTTTAACGTTTAAATTCGAATAAGTTACTTGAAATTGCTCTTTATTGTTATATTAAAATTATTTATATTTTATAATAATAATACTTAAACCTATACAGCAATATAAGCATATGTATCTTATATTTATCATCATATTTTAATTCATCCGATTTCCGTAAAATAAAATAAAATTCGTATCATTATTTTTAAGAATTTTAACGTATATGAATCGATTAGTTTTTTTTTTAAAGCGTTATATGGTCAGCTGAGCTCATTCTTGTATGTGGCGTGACTTGAAGTAACGTGACGTGACGTAACGAGAAGTGACTGTAAGTGAAGTGTACACACACACGCACCCACCCACGCGCCCACACACGCACACACATGCACACATAAATACATACATACATACTTCACATAGAAACAGGATTATTTTTTTTTAGCCGTACAATAATTGTAGAACCCTTGACCTAGTCACCTGTACTTACCTGTCAGTGCAAGTTCAACTTAGCTCTTCACCACACAGTGAAATTCAACGACTAATTAACAAAATCCCCCTGAACATTGTTCGTGAAATGTCAAGTTGAGCTGGCTACACTAAGAAATGTTTAATTAAACCATTCTCAAACAGAACCGTATGTCTGTATTATGTCAAATGTAAAAAAAAAGCACAAGTTAACATATATTTTGAGTGTAAATAAATTTTGGAAAAGAACAAAATATTTTTTAATGTATTTTTTTATGTTATTTATTTTAAACATGCCATTGGATTAAGAAACAACCAGTAGTAAAAATCAAAGCTTATATGTAGGGGTACTATATTAATGAGCGAGAACCATGGATTAATAGCCTCAGCTTTAATGGAAAGATAACCATTTGGTTATTTCATGACGTCAATGACTGCATTGCAAAAACGGCTTGTCCTCATTTTAAGTAGCAGAAATTCCTCTGCTGCAGTTGTAGGAATGTACATAATGGTTTTCAGGGTGGAATTGATTTTGGGGAGTGCAAGTTCTTTCTGAACGTTACCCCTAATTGTATCAGACTGCAATAAATGGTGTCTAGATCTATTACTGGGACAAACCTCGTTGTAATTTTGTGACATAGCCACACACCAGACACCATGTCAAACACCCTAAGGATAGTCTCTTTAATGTTATTGGTAAAAGTTTCAACACGATGGTGATTTTCAAAATCAAACATTTTGTTATAAAATGTTGTGCTCATTTTGATTGTTTGTTTTCTTGTAAAGGATTAATTTGGTGTTAACTGCTGGGATTATTTAGTTAATTTTTAAAGGATTAAATTGATGTTAACTGCCGGGCTTATTTGGCTACTTTTGTTTTAAAGGATTAATTTGGAGTTAACTGCTGGGCTTATTTAGCTACTTTCTTTTGAAGGATTGATTTGGTGTTCACAGCTTGGTTTATTTAGCTACTTTCTTTTAAAGGATTAATTTGGTGTTAACTGTTGGGCTTATTTAGTTACTTTTTTTTTAAGGATTCATTTGGTGTTAACTCTTGGGCTTATTTAGTTACTTTCTTGTAAAGGATTAAATTTATGTTAACTGCTGAGCTTTTCGGAGAATGTTACGTTAAGCTTTTTTCAGATTTAGAAGATTTTACACAACTAATTAAAGAATTCACTACTTGAGTTTCTTTACGAATTCCTTTTAAAAATCAATTAGCATTTTAGTTTATAAGTACGAACATAGTGCAGACTTTTTATTTAAGAAATATTAGCAGAAAGCTTTTTGTGTAAGGAACTAAGAGTCTGACCTAACATTATTTTTTTGGAATTATGTTGTTTAGGTCAGATGGTTTCCCATAACTGAATATTAGTTGAACATTTCGCATAGGCGCATATTTAAAAGGTTTAATGTAACTCTAAGGTATGTCTTATGTGTTAAACTGTCTATAAGAAATCAGTGGAATAGAAAAAAATAATTCTTAAATTAGATAATTTAATGAATATTTTAGTAAAATACTATCAAAATATTCACACGCAAAATTAATATTTCATTAACCACTATACAATACTTGTGGGCAAAGTGTAGCTATTGCATTTTCCCTTTACTTTTAAGAGTTCTCTTACCCTAATAGGTTGCACAAGAACAAATAAGTTTGTCATTGGTTGGCATTGGTTAAATCTTGTCACCGAAATTAATTGAAAACCGGACCCTCCGATTTTATATATTTAAAATTCTTATAATATTTTCTTTTATATTATGCTTTTTTTTTAAACTCATCAGCAGGCGAGATACTTGTCATACATCCGATATTTCCAGTATTATTGTTTCATAAATGTGTGGATCCTACTTTTCTATTCTAGGCCTTCACCATACAAAGCGTCTCAACACAGACATGCAAAAAGACAGCTGATGTCGTCCTCGCCGTAGACATCTCCTTCTCCATCACGACCGGCAACTTCCACGACTACGTCCTGCCCTTTCTGCAAAGCGTCGTCGCGGAATTCGACATCGGCCCGAACGAATCGCAGGTCCAGGTCGGCGCCGTCACGTTCAGCGACAAGGTCCGTCTGGCTTTCCGCCTCAGCGACCACCGGGACGAGGACAGCCTGCTGAGGGCTGTAGGGGACATCTACTACGCCGGCGGTGAGACGTACACCGACGCCGCCCTGAAGTACGTCCGCGACAATATGTTCACCTGGGCCAACGGCGGGCGGGACGACGCAGAGAGGATTGTGATTGTGCTGACCGACGGGAGATCGTTCAGTAGGCCGAGGACGGTCGCGCAGGCCGAGGCATGCCGTCATCAGGGAATCGTCCTGTTCGCTGTCGGGGTGGGGAGTGCCGACGTCAGAGAGCTGGAGGAGATCGGGAACGCTCCGGCGGACGAGCATGTGTTTTACGTCACGGATTTCAACGCCTTGGATAGCATCCGGGCCTCTCTCACGGATAACGCCTGTGGCGGGGATAAGTCGGTGGGTTGTTTTCGTAAAGCGGTTATGTCATCCGAACTGTTCAGGTATCACACCAGGTGTGAAGGTATTAACATATTTAAGTGTGCGAGTATCACATCGTGTGTGCAAAGACTAAGTTGTTGAAGTATTCAGGTATTATATCAGGTGTGTGGGGTCGTTCGAAAATAACATCACGGTCAGGAGGGAGGGGTGTCGAGAATTTGTGACAGGGAGGAAAAAGGGGGGGAAGGGGTCTGAAACTGTCATTTTTGGCGTGACGTAATTAGCTAACGACCCCTGTAGAGACTAGCATCTTTAGGTGTTCAAGTAGTGCATCGTGTGTGTAAAGACTAACGCGTTTAAACTTGACAAAGGGGCTTAACATGAAATGAAAAACATTAATAAATATATAATTTTTGATTTATAAAATCTATTTCAAAAACTGCTTCCAACCATTCACGTTCAATTTATTTATTTATTTATTTTCAAGGATCCCGTCCTCAATGACGACAGAAGTTCGTTTACACCCTGCCAGGGATCCGCCGCTGACGTCATCTTCGTCATCGACCAGTCATCCTCCATCGGGGCCCGGAGATTCTACGCCGACGTCATACCCTTCCTGCAGAGCGTCATCTCTGACCTTGACATTGGCCCCGACGACACCCAAGTCCACGTCGGAGCCGTTCTGTTCGGCACGACCGCGACCGCTCCGTTCTTCCTGGGGGACCACCGCTTCAAAGACGACCTCCTCCGTGCCGTCTCAGACATCAGATACGCAGGGGGTGGCACTAACCTGCACCAAGCGTTGAAACTTGTCAATGACGCCATGTTCCGTTTGGAAAATGGCGCCAGGACCGACGCGTCCAAGATAGTAGTTCTCTTGACGGACGGCAGGGCAAACAATAGGGTCCAGGCGGTTCAACAGGCCAGGGCGGCGCGGGAAAATGGTGTCCAGATTTTTGCCTTAGGCGTGGGAGACGCAGACGAGAACGAGTTGGCGAGCATGGCGGACCAACCGTCCAGCGAGCATGTGTTCTACGTCCCTGAATTCGGGTCCCTCGGCAGTGTTAGAGATCTTCTCGTGTCAAGGACATCGGTGTGTAGTGTCATTGACAGCTTCAGCTAGCCTTGACCTCTCGGAAATTTCAAGACACTTCTAGTTTTATTATATATTGTTCAATTTATGAAATACATTTATCTGAAAAAAACCTTCGTGTTTTCATGTACACGAAATAGAAGCAAGCGTTGTTAAGAAAAATGCTTGTAGCTATTTTAACATTTTAATTTGACGACTTTTTTTTCCAATCACGATTCCAGAAGCTTTGTTATTTTAAAGTCATAACGTTAATTTGATAGCGAATGTATGAGTTGTTTTTTTTACAATTTCATAAACACAAAATATGGACATGCTGGTCAACATATTTTTAACGGAAGTTGAAGGTATTACTGCTATTAAAAGTCTTGAGAAGCCCTGCTTTACAGAAACAATCCCTCATACATTTCACAACGCTAACCAACAAGTACCTGCTAGTAATTTCTAAATGATTTTTTTTTATATAATACACAATATTAATACTCCTGTAAAACGTTATCCTCATCTGAACATCATCTAAAAAAAAAATAAACTCCATAAGATGTCATTGCTCAATAACACAAACATCCACTAGGTCTTTGAGCGGTACTCTTTCCTCAAACATCTCCTGACGACCACCAGGCCGTAGAACGTGTCCCTGAAGCTGGTGCTCATGTACAGGTACACGAACAGCGTCACGCTGGAGTACGTGGCCTGGCACACGAACGTCACGCCGGCCACCGAGAGATGCACGTTGTTCTGCCGGCCCACGACCGTGTACTCGGGGTCCACGATCATCCACACGAAGTGCAGGACGCTCGGCAGCGAGCTCGCAATGTAGATGGTCGACAGCACGACGACGAGTTTTACAATTTTGGCGTCCTTGGCGACCGCGGCTGACTCTGTCGTCTTTTCGCCTTGTTTATCAGAGCCGCCATTCTCGATGACGCTTTTAGACTTTCCGTCCAGTCTAGCGATTTCTTTGTTAGGGGATGGAACCTTAACGTGACCTACTTCTCGCGTGACACTCTGCCGCCATTTAGATTTACTGTTGAGCTTCACAACCAGGACCATCGTGCAGACGATGACGAGCCCGAAGCTGGTGAAGGGTGAGAAGACGTTGGTTATACCCAGAGCCACGCGCTTGATCTCCTCCCTGTTGGCGCCTATAAAATTGAGACCAATAATAGATCGATTCTTGGCGGAATCGAATCGCCACTGCAGCCCCGTGGTAAAGTAGATGGGACAGACGCCGGCGATTACTCCGACGTAGATGGCTACGATGATGGCGACGCAGCGGCCGTGCGTGAGTATTCTTCTGATCTTCAGTGGCATCGCGACGCACAGGCATCGCTCCACGTTGATGTAAGCGGTTATCCAGCCAGTCACACGCGCGAACACCGTGTTGGGCCAACCTGTCGTCAGGTAGAATACCTGAGATTCAAGACAAAGAAATGGGGGTTTTAAATTCTGCATAGTTCAATAATGTTGTTTCATTACTCCACTCCGGCTTTTACCATGAAAGAGACAACATAACTAAATTGACGTCTTCAAAACTTTGGCAAAAAATATGTTCTTTTTATTCGATTTTAATGTAGATAACATATTCTAAATGAATTAACTTTATTTTAATGCAGGATACTTAAATAATTATTATCCCTAAACTAAACATCATGATCAGGATAACAGCGCCTAATCTAAAAGGATTTTTTTAATGATTATATTTTAATACAAACTTTTGATTTGATTTAATACTACTAAGCCATTTATTGTAATAAGTGGTGGGGTGGGAGACTGCAAACGAGTTAGGTAAAAGCCAATGAGCAAGACCAAGAGATTCCTCTTGCTGTCTTCTTGGATAGTACATTGCTGTTAATTGTTTGTTGTTTATGGGTTTTGTTTGTTTTTTTTATTTGTTTTTTTTTTTTTTTTTTACTTTTTTTTCGCTAAAGAAGGCTTCTTGCCGACACTTTAACTGTTTTGTTCTGTCCTTTTTTTTTTTTTTTTTTTTTTCTTTTTTGTTTTTTTTTTTTTTTTTTTTTTATTGTTTTTTTTTTGTAGTTTGTTTTTTGTTGTTTTTTTTTTTTTTTTTTTTTTTTTTTTTTTTTTTTTTAGTTTTTCCATATTTGTTTTTTTTTTATTTCCTTTTAAGAAATCTATGGGGTATTGCGATATTGAAACCTATTTTGAAGTCGTACCTCTTTAAACCAATATTAAATGAAAGTTTGAAGAAAAAATACTGTCCTTAAAATCATTGATACATTTTGTTTCATCCCGTCGGTTAAAATGGATGAAAATGAATAAACGTGTGCTGACACACAGGTGAGAAAACACCTTCCCCTCCCCAACCCACCCCACCCCCCAGCCCCCAAACCATCTCTCTGTAAGCCTAACTGGCGCTACCTACCGAGACGGGATCAAAAGGGACGTTCGACTCGATGAGCCACGGGTTGTTGCCGACGCACAGACACGCCAGGGAAACGAGAGACAGGAAGTCGGACACGGCCATCCCCATGAGGCTGACGTTGATGGTCCTCCGGAAGCCTTGTTTGACCAGCACCACCATGGTGGCGGCGTTGGTGAAGATCCCGATCACGGAGACCAGCTCCGAGAGAACGACCACGTCAACTATGGTAAAGATCCTCTCGGCCTCCGAGCTCAGGAGCTGCTGGGTCTTGGGAGCTGTGGGCAAAAGTGGGCCATCTGGCCTGCTGGTGCTCGCCATGGATATTATTTAGGTGTTCTGCACTGCGCTTACAGTGTAAGAGAATCCCTCTTTATAATTGGAACTCCCTTGATCATTGTAGAGTTACCTTGATATAATTATGAAAATTTTGTCATATAATAACCAGGTATAATAACTATTATTTTTTAATGCAAGTACAGTGAATTCATTCATTCATGGTGGATTTTTTACACCCCAAGCCAGTTGTAACAGAAACGTCTAATGGAATAGTTCAGACTTTCAACTCTGGGTAAAAATAATTTATTTATTTTGAAGAAAAAAAAAACTATTGTAATGGGTTGGTGGCCACGGTGAGATGTAACACGGTAGGGTTGTTGTTTGGGATGTAACTGTTAGATGGGAACTTGAGACCAGGGCTCTCAAAATCAATGAAAGGAGCACATGAGGCTCATTCGATGGTCTGACAACCAAGTCTGAGATACTAAATATTTTCTTAAACTCTTGGCTTTGAAAAAAAAATATCGTTCACATGTGGTCAACAACAAAGAGGCTACGTGATTAAATCATGGATGTTATAACGCCGACTGCAATGATCAAGATAAAGATGTCTACAGAGAATAAAAAACGGAGATCGCGAGTACAAAAATTATTAAGTACGTCGTGAATATTCTTTAGTGATACTGAATTGTGCAAGATGACCAGAATTATCCAAATATTTTAAAATAAGTGAAGATTTGGAGTTTCCGTGTTGGCGTCGAGATAATTGACTCGGAGCAGAAGCCCACGGGAGCAGGCAGCTCTTTTCAACTGACTTGCCTTTGGGATACATGGGGTGAAATGGAAGATGTCAGTGTGATATCATCAAACTACGATTAACTTAAGACAAAAATTCAGCTGAAGTATGATGCCAATTGGCAAAATTAGAAATCGAAACGACTGCAAGACTCTCAACTCCACCAAATTCCACAGCTTTAAACTGAAAAATCAATTAAAAACAACCTCTAATCTCAAAAGTCCTTTTTTTTTTTTGTTATTGAAATGTTGCACTCCCAAAGATTATATTTTATTGTTTTTATTATTATTTTTAGCGTAATGTAATTTAACCAACTAGGCTCTCCCCCCTTTTTTTTTTTTAGGGGTGCACTAAGTCTTTCCTTTAGATTTGCCCACGGGTGAAATAAACTTTAATCATTCAGTGGTAACGTTTCAAATTACTTTAGAAAATAAATTATTTACGAAAAATCGATGAACAGCTTTGTCGTTATGGAAAATACAGAGAGAACTCCACTACGCATGCTGTAAATGCACAATTGGAACAATTTGACCCGGATGATACATAAAAAGCTTCCTAAATGTACCGCCCCCCCCCCCAAACGGCTTGCCTACCCTGGCACTAGGCTGCAGACCTCCCGCGGGTATGTTATCAAAGTATGTATTCAATTTTGATAGTGACATCAATGTAAGCCAAAGAGCTTGGTTCTTTTTAAACGTTTTAAAATTGGAATCGCACTACAAAATGTTATCACATTTCTTTTATTTATTTCTTTTTTCAGTTACTCCCTTGTTCCAATCAAACAATTAGTATATCTAAGACTAAAAAACCAGGATAGGGTTATTGGGAACACTTCAAACTATTTTTAAGGAAGAAGAAACGGTATGTTTTTATTTATTTTTAAGTTCTTGCAATTGTTAACACATGAAGGACTACGTTGAAGGGAGAGAGCAGAAACAGGACAGTGGAAGGCTCTTGGCCGAAACGTTCTTCTTATATTTTCCCTGTCTTTAGATTTCAAGCCAGCGCATACCTTGTTCTGCTATGTTCTTACAGCTGTTTTTAGTTTTTTGATCACTGGAAGATGTTCTCAGAATATTTAACCTGCAATTTAAAAGTTTGAATTCTAAACAACAGCTAGTGTTCTGGGGTTACCTTCTTTCTTTTTTTTTCTTTTTTTTTTGTTGTTTTTTTTTTGTTTGTTTTTTTTTGTTTGTTTGTTTAGGTTAGATCAAGCTTCTCATCAGCAGACAAATAATCAATAATATTTGCAGAAATGGTAGTGAGCACGAAGCACTTGACCGGTGACTCACGAAGAGCAGCGTCCGCAGACTCGGCCCGCGAAATGGAAAACCGTGATGCCGAGCCGAGGTCAAAGGGCCTTCCCGCTGCTAATCAGCTCATCAGAAGACGAATTCAGTTGACCACGTGGGAATGACAGGATCATACTGACGTGTCCTACATACAACAAAGTGTTGATCATACTCATAAAATAAAGAAACAGGTTTGCGCTGTATTTTTAACTTGTTATTTTTCTTCTTTTTTTTAAATACTTTCTATTAACTAACTTCGCTTTTATTCGTGTGTTTCTTTCTGGCGAAAATCATCGGAAGGCTAATAGGCCCACTTTCCGTCAATCTGTCGAGCTGAAACTTGGCACAAAGGCTCGACGAAAACACATTCTGTCAAATTCTCAGCCCCAACCCCCAAAAATCCGTTATTAACAAATTTTTTTTCAAAATACTTGTCGGTGCCTAAGAACAAGAAAGGTAATTCAGTTCAACTTCCATTTAAATCTTGTCATGGTTTTACTCCCACAACAAAAGCCATTGCAGAATAAAATAAAAAGTATTTTTTGAAGGGGAAAATGGAGGAAATTTTATATGGTTTTTTTTTTCGTCAGAAGTTTACGCATTTACACGACCGCTTCTTAAAAATGATCCATCACGTACAGTTACATCAATGCAAACAAAAACGCATATGAAGGATTTATACGAAAATCGATGTTTCTAGGCGTTTGATTTCTGCCTATTAACAAGTCTGTCAAGCTTATAGCTTCAAACTTTGTTGCCACGCGTGACCTTCTCGCCCAGTTTGATGGCTCGTGGTGACCGACCTGTTAGGTCGCATCTGAGTAGCTGGTACAGACGGAGAGGTCAGGCTACCGGCGTGATAAAGGGAAAAAAAAAAGGCTGAGTGAAAAAATAAAATACATAAAAACAACCCCACCACCAATGACCCCTAACTGTAGAATTGTGGGGTGGGTTGGGAGAAGGAGGTTTCGACCATTAGACTCTGATCAACTGACGGCAAGTGACCAAGGGTTTAAAACGCCTGAGCCGTTAAATTCTAATTGATTTTTATTTTTTATTTTTTTGGTTTTATTTATGCCTGGGTCAAAAAGAGCAAAGTCAAAACATGCCTGGGATTTTGAAAGAATTCAGGGGTTTTTTTTATGGTTTTTTTTTTTAATGGTTTTTGTTAATGATCTTTTGTCGATAATTTACAGTTTAAAATGTTCATACCAAAAAGGAGATCATAAAAATATATTAACTTTTATTTAAAAAAGGCTTTTTTTTCAAAGACGAGTTTAAACGCACTAAAAAGTTGTTGTTTTTTTTTTTTTTAAATAATACTTTCTTATTTTTTTGTAATAGTTTAAAATGTTTATAACAAAAAGGAGATCATAAAAATATATTAACTTTTATTTAAAAAAGGTTTTTTTTTCATAGTCGAGTTTAATCGCTCTAAAAAGTTGTTGTTTTTTTTTTTAAATCATACTTTCTTAATTTTTTGTAATGCATTACGCAAAGAAAGTCTGTGCAGAAAATATTTTCAAAAGTTAAAAAAAAAGAAACGACTTATAAATGTCTTCTACATTTAATTCGAATCCATTGGCTTCACACGACCTTCCTGCACAGACTGTCTTTACGTAATGTGTTTTGTGAAACTTTAAGAGAATTATGTTCTTTTTTTAATGTATATTTACAATCACCTAATTTTTATCCCGAAATTTTAGTTAAAATACAACAAAAATGAATGCTGGCACCAAATCTTCTTTCTACTTTTCAAACAAATCAGTAGCTATCCTCATATCTTAATTTCTTAAACGACTTCACAAATATAGTTCGCGCGCACTGATTTCGATACAACCAGGGTTAATGACTTTTGAGCACTGCTGGCGACACTAGGGTTTTAAAAAAAAATGACAATTTAGTTTATTTACTTAGGAAAACGAGCGACAACAACAAAAAAACTATTTCAAACAAATCAAGACCTGGGATGATTGTTTCTTCACGACGTTTGCGCAATCCATTATCTGATCAATGACATCAATAGCATGACGATCTTTTAGAGCTTCTAAAGGAGGCGAGCATTTTTCAAATTCAGTTTTAAAATGTCGCGGGGGGGGTGGGGGAATCGAAGTTAACAATGATGACATGGCTGTTAGTGTATTTCATATATTAGAGGAATTTACTGGTATTTGTAAATGAACAGATTCGACACAGGATTGGATCAAACCCATAACGATGTTTTTCTCATTTAATTAGTGACATACTAAAAAAATGTTTACTTAAACCCCACGTAGGCATCTTAATTGGACGGAGACTCGAATGCGTCAGATGAACTGGGGGCAATTAATTGTTAAATTATGTTTCTACTTCGTAATTGTTTAATTGTTTAGAATAATTATTTCGGATGACCTGGAAGTGGCCGATGGTTGTTCTGTCGTGCAAGGAAAACGTGTTTAATTAAAGAGAATAACGGCAATTAATACTAGGATGAACTTTTGACATTTAGAAAATGGCGAATAATCTCAAAAATAAAAAAAAATACTATAAAAAAACAAGTTTCTTTTTGTTGTTTTTTTTTTAAGTTTAGAATTACTTGGTCTTACAAAAAAACTATAACGTAAATTGCTGTAATTTCATTTTAAAATGCTACGATATGTTGTCTAAAATAAAATTATATTAAAGTAACTCCTGGTAGTATCTTCCGGCAATAGCTTTGGTAGTAATGTTGGCAATCGTATTTAATGACAAGTGTGTCATACTAAATTGCTAAGGACAAAATTACATGAGATTCCCATTTCGAAATACATGATCACATTTTTTTTTTAAAATGTGACACTGTACATGAAGGCTTACTTCAGTTATCTCACATGCATTGATGAGTCAATGAATAATTGTTTGAAACATGAACTAATGTACTCTGTAATTTACAAAGTCAATTTTTAGAAAGGTCTTTTTTTTTAAGGCTTTCCAAAACAATTTCATGGTTCATGTTAAAACAGTTGAATATATGGGTGTTTAAACGACAAATAATAACCATTAAAGATGACGAAATCGATTTCTTGGAGGAGGCTGCTCATCGTACAGATCTACACAGCCGAGAAGGACAGCCATCTTGGATGGACATCGTGTCATCAAATAATAATATGGGTTCATGTGTTTGTGCCACTTCAGCGCTCCGACTTCATCACATCATTAGTTGTGTTAGGGATGGTTTGTTTCGTGTGTCTGCTGTGCTATTTTCTGATGATAAAATACATTCAACCCAAGTTAGAGTCCTCATCAAGAAGACTCGAGCTTACGTTGTGTCGAAAACAGCCAAAAGTCATTACAAGGATGTCCGCATCACTGGCCCCACCAACCGAGTCATCAGCTCGGATAACGTAAGAGCTCTTCATCTCAAATAGGACCTTGCAAATCACCAAAGCCGAATTTGAATCATAAAGCACAAGTTTAAGTTTCTGTCTGTGACTGGCTTTGGCTGGTCCGCTCCTACAGAAGAGAATCACGCACTGGAACTGTTGAACAAAAAATGGTATATTGTGTTTGCTATGTTTGAAATCAAGAATGCTCTAAATAAATCAGTATTCATGCTACAAATTAAAAAAATTTCTTAGTATAATCTATGCTTATAATCAATGCTTGATTGTTTGTCAAATTCTTTCTTAACGTTGTGATGTGACTTTTCAATATTTAATTACCCAGGGTTTGTTTCTTTTGAGTCTGTATCGGTCTGTCAAAATTTCTCACCGAGAAATTAAAAAACGCAAAGTTTCTGCGCTCATTTACTTATATAATCGTTACTGTAGTAATGTGATGTTGTTTGTCATAAGTGGTGAGATGTGGGTAATAAGGAAGGATGTTGTGAAATGTTTTTTTTTATATAGATGTTTTCTTGAGATTGTTTAGGCTGGAAGGAATGCGTTTCTGGTCATGGCCCCCTCTTATTCTTTTCTATTTTATTAGACAGAATGCGTTTAAATCTATACTATGTAAATTTAAATTATACTTATTTAAATGTTGTTGTTTTTTTGTACCGATGAATACATTTTCCGAAACTTTAACATTTGTATTTTATAAAATCATCTTTAAAGCTGAACAAATATTGTTTTAATTAATCTGGATCCGGAAGTGTTTTGGGGTGTGCACAGTTTCCATGAGATGGCGCGTGTTATTTGTGTTCGATCGGGAATTCACCGAGACACAACTTACGCACCATCAGTCAGGGCATGGACGCACCACGGTGCGGCCCTGCGCGGGGGCGTACGTTGCTGTTACTGCTCTGATATGTCTGTCTGCACTTGCAAAAGGGATATTGCTCTGGATGTTGAATTTTCCAATCTGCTCTCAAAGGTTCTCATGTTGCCAACGTGACGCCCCAGTGAGAGCGATTTATAAAAAGAAACAGGACATGAAGCCGAGAGTCACAAATCTCATTTTGACATTCTGAACTTGCTCCCTTTTTTTTTCACACAATGTTAAACCACGAATTCCTCAGGTTTTGTTTTTTTTATTTTTTTTTTCAAGTGATATGTATTTTTGGAAGAGAGTGGATCTGATTTATAGTTTCGTATACAATATTTATAGGTGGAAAGCACAAAATTGTGCATTAGCAACTTTAAAATAAATGTGGAAAAGAGAGTTGGCGGATTTTAAAAAAAATTTGGGGGAGGAATATCAAAGATAGAGTTTTAAAAAGTATCTGAATTGAGTTTGTAAAATACATATTTAGATATTCCTAAATCTGATAATGAAATGTATCCCATAATTTTTAACTATATTTGCCATTTAAAAAATGTATTTTATTGAGAATTTTAGAGCATTAAAAGTGGTTGGGTCATTAGAATACTAATAGTTCAGGGGCGTGAAATAAAGTGTGCATTGCGCGCGGGGGTTGGGGGAGCACTAATTGGTATTCTGATAAAGTGCGTTATTTGTATGTATGTTTTGTTGGGGGGGGGGGGGGTGGTGTTTTTTATGTGGGGGGGGGGGGGGGGGGGGGGGGTCCAAGTGAGTGGATGCTTGGTGACCACCAAGTTTCACAATTAGTGGGGGAAAAAAATTAATTAACTCTCTTTCGAGACTTTTTCTGCCTCGCAGGTATTTTTAGATTATCTCAAGACGAGCCCGGTTCGCTAATCCGCACCGTGTGTCACAGCCCTACAAAGTTATCGACTTAAGCAACCAACAATAGGATTTAATCTTTTCTTTTTTTTAACAGCTGTGTAGAAACCCGAGCACGATGGTTTAAAGAGAGTTGAGTTTTCTAATACGGAGTAAATGAGTTTCACTTGAGATGTCGTGATGTCTTTTGTTTCTTACTAGTTATGCTTTCTTAGCGACGGCGTTGTTTCGATTTTGACAGAAGAGTTGTGTGTGCATTGTTCATGGAAAGATGAGTTAAAGACAGGTTGGGAGCGCATAAGTCGTTTTTTTAATGTTTCTGAACAAACTTGTAAGTTTCGACGTGGTAACGGGGTTTTTGCTGTTGAGACATCCCTGTGACATGGTCTGGGTTAGTTACATAGATGCTTACATTGAATTATAGCAGTCATAAGTGAAAGACACCATTTGATTTGGGGGAGGGGGAGTGAATAAAATGTAGCTGTTTTCAAACACAATTTTCCGTCGTTGTAAAGATTTGTCGATGTTTCTTTTTATACAATACTGAGAAGTCTCCCATGAAATAATAGAAGTCTCCCATGAAATAATAGAAGTCTCTCATGAAAAAATAGAAGTCTCCCATGAAATAAGCGAAGTGTTCCACGAAATGAGCGAAGTCTCCCATGAAACAATAGAAGTCTCCCATGAAATAATTTAGGTCCCCCATGAAATAATAGAAGTCTCCCATGACATAAGCGAAGTCTCCCATGAAATAATAGAAGTCTCCCATGAAATAATTGAGGTCTCCCATGAAATAATTGAGGTCCCCCATGAAATAATTGACGTCTCCAGTGAAATAAGCGAAGTCTCCCATGAAATAAGCGAAGTCCCCCATGAAATAAGCGAAGTCTCCCATGAAATAAGAGACGTCTCCCATGAGTAAAAGAAGTTTCTCATGAAATGAAATCTTCGCGGTCCTCATATTCCTTTAAATCGGGTTAACGTTGAAATGTGTTCGAGACATCACGGTATATCTTACAGTTTATTCATTTCAATTATTTTTTTTATAAAACTAAGTTGATGACATGATTTCATAATCTATTATTTTTTTTATATCGCGTAAATTTGCCATGTTTAGAAATAAATTCTTCTTTTCAGCAGCATAACCCTTTGACATTTTTTTTTAAAATCAAGTTTAATTAGAACCTAGACCTTGCAACAGACAATAAAATCTAACCGTCTTTGCCGATGGTACCAAGGAGTTTAAAAGAAAGAAATTTTAGCAATTTAAAAGATATAAATGTATCACACTAGTCTTACAGAAAAGCTAACAGCTTTTAATTTTTTTTTTTAATGTAGTCAAAAGTCAAATTGTTGAAAGAGTCACTAATGTCTTCTGCTTAAGAACCGCCTCTGGACGGACAAAACGACGGCTTGAACTAAGCTGTGCGCGTGGGTAGGTGGGTAAGTGGGTAGGTGGGTAGTTGGGTATGTGGGTTGGTGGGTAGGTGAGTAGGTGGGTAAGTGAGTAGATGGATAGGTGGTTAGGTGGGTAGGTGAGTAGGTGGGTATGTGAGTAGGTGGGTAGGTGAGTAGGTGGGTAGGTGAGTAGGTGGGTAGGTGAGTAGGTGGGTAAGTGAGTAGATGGATATGTGGTTAGGTGAGTAGGTGAGTAGGTGGGTACGTGAGTAGGTGGGTAGGTGAGTAGGTGGGTAATTTTGTATGTGGGTAGGTGGGTAAGAGAGTAGGTGGGTAGGTGAGTAGGTGGGTAGGTGAGTAGGTGGGTTGGTGAGTAGGTGGGTAGGTAGTTAGGTGGGCAGGTTGTTACTATGCAAATATAGATGTGATTTAGTAGAAATTAATTATCTGAAATTCATAACTTTGGCGGAAGACGTCAGAAAAAAGAAAATGTTCAAATTGAGGAGGAGACAAGTCAAGAAGTTGGCTGGGATCGTCTTCGTGGCCGCTTCGTTTTACATCTTCGTCCAAAACATGCGATGGACCGAGGACCTACACGACGGGGAGAGTGACAGGAATCGATACCGTCTCAAAAACGCACGGTCCGGGGATTCAAATATCGATCATGCATTCAAGGGATTAACGGAAGTCGAAGAGGCGTTTGACACGGGAGGTTATCCGGTGAAAGAAATTCACGGGAGGGAAGTGAGTAAGTTGACGGGCAACTACACAGACGTGAGAGTGCCCCGGTACATTGAGCACGGCACAGAGTGGAGTCCAGGTACAATTAATGGAGGTGTAAAAATAAATAACTAAAACAATATTTAAATTAATTATCTTATTTATTTATTTATTTATTAAGGCATTTTTATATAGCGCTTATCATAAAGCTCTAAGCGCTTTACAATTATTAAAACATGTAAACTAAGTAAATACAAATGAGACACTAGGATAGTAACTACTATTCTATAGAAACAATGAAAATGGCTATAAAAAGAGGACACTTTGACACTTCAGGATTAAACCGAAACAGAAAATTAGGTAGGGCAAGGAGGGTGCATCACAGGTCATAGGCGGACCTAAACAGATGAGTTTTAAGGGACTTTTTGAAAATGGACGAGGTTTCACTATGACGTATATGGAAGGGGAGCTGGTTCCAGAACGTGGGCCCATGGAAGCAGAAGGAGCGTTCACCGATGGTCTTAGTTTTAGTTCTTGGGATTGAGAGGGTTCTACTGTCAATGGAAGAACGTAGTTGTCTTGTGGGGATGTAAGTAAGCAACAGTTCAGAGAGATAGACAGGAAAGTGAGGGTCAGTGAACGAGTTGAAGCAAAGATTGGCTTTTATTTTATTTTATTACTTTATTATTTTTTTAATGTATTAATTTTATTATTTGTGTATTTTATTTTTGTATTATTTATTGTATTTATTTATTGAATTACATAATTTTATTTTTTTTATTTTTTTTTTATTTTGGTTGGGAGTAAAGGGGTGAGATCTGACTTAACAAATGTAATAGTATGCTGCAAGTGTTGAAAATTAAGAGAGGACATTTTGATTTTAAAAAATGAAATGAATTCCTGACACACACACACACACACACACACCCGCAGCCCCCCCCCCACAAACACTACCCGGTGGCCAACTCCAAGATCGTATCTCCTCTCACCTCAAAGTTTTCATCTCGACTCCCCCAAAACTTCTCACTCCATCACATGGCCAAATCAAGCACCCTGATTGGCCGGGCTTGTTTGTCAAACTTCACGACTCTCCCTGGCCTACAGTTGTACAGGGAATTAACAGTGTTTTAACTCCGGTCAGCAGTCTCTTATCGATGGTTCTCACATTTATAATTGTATCTGAGACCGCTTGTTTTAAGTGATTTAATTAGTCACATAATGAATAGCTACAATTCCTCACACAACCAAATGTCTATAGACAGAAAAGGGTTACGCAATTGTTAGGGTTAAGTTTTTTTGTTGGTTTTGTTGGTTGTTTTTTTTTGGGTTTTTTTCTTTGACCAGGCGAGGGGGGCAAACCCTTCCTGTTTATGGGTGGAGATTTAAAATGGCGGCAGAAGAGGTCAAGGATGCAAGACTTCAGACAGTATCACGTGGATGTCTGGATCAGTGACGAAATCGCGGTACACAGAAAACTGAAAGACTTCAGAACGGAGAGGTGGGTGTCCATGGAAATATTCAGTTGCACCTGACACTCGACAGAAGGTGTTTTCACTTAAACTGTTGACTGACCTGTAGGTGTCATTCGTCTTAAACTGTTGACTGACCTGTAGGTGTCATTCGTCTTAAACTGTCGACTGCCCTGTGGGTGTCATTCGTCTTAAACTGTTGACTGACCTGTAGGTGTCATTCGTCTTAAACTGTTGACTGCCCTGTAGGTGTCATTCGTCTTAAACTGTCGACTGCCCCGTGGGTGTCATTCGTCTTAAACTGTTGACTGACCTGTAGGTGTCATTCGTCTTAAACTGTTGACTGCCCTGTGGGTGTCATTCGTCTTAAACTGTTGACTGACCTGTAGGTGTCATTCGTCTTAAACTGTTGATGACCTTGGTTTTTTCCCCCTATTTTTAATTAGCATTAATTTAAACCCAGACCTGGTCAAGTTGGGGGGGGGGGAGCTGACTGCGCTGACCTGATACTTTTAATGTAACTTTTAAATCAAACCCCGTTACATGTGATTATGCTTTTTCTTCCACAAATCATAAATCTTTGTCCCAAGACCAATGCGTTATATTTTATTGTTCTGCATAGTTGCATAAAGAACAAAAATAAATAGTATCCAAAAAAAAAAATGCTTAAAATAGAAAAGGCCAACAGCAAAACTTACTGCTACACGTAATGTCTTAGACAAAAATTTAAGGTAACAGTAATAAAATTCATCACTGCTGTGGTGCTCCGTTCCAACAAAAAGTCAAGGCTATGTTCAAAATTATAAGTCACACTCAAAGAACTCAACAGTTTGCTCATACCGCACAATTATTGGACAAAGTCTCGCAACGGATTTATTTTAATGCACGACGAAAAAAAACTCAAACTAGGATTTTTTTTAAAATATGTACGATGAACGTAAAAAAACAAACAAGTTAATTCATTTACTTGGACCAATAAAAGTATCTTATCTTATCTTATCTTATCTTTTTCTCCTGTAGAAGAGCAGATTTATTTTATTAATTTATTAAACGTGCTTCGTCTAAATATTTCTAGACAGGTGTTTTATTTTCGTGTAAAAGTAGTTTTATTTTTAGCTTGAGTGGACCACGGGTACACGTGAATGAGTCGCTTAAGATGGATTACATATGGAGATAATGTTAATCGCTAATCTCTCAGATGCCAGGCACAAAGCTACACTGACCTGCCCGTTGCCTCCGTGGTCATCGCGTTCCACAACGAGGCTTGGACCACCTTGCTGAGGACTATTTTCAGCATTCTGGACCGGACGCCTGCACCATTTTTGGAGGAGATTGTTTTGGTGGACGACTCGTCCACCATGGGTGAGTTGGTCCATCGTGGGTTAACTGGTCCATTATGAATGAGTTCGTCGTCTATGGGTTAATAAGTCCACTATAGAGAAGTTGGTCCACCATTGATTAATTGGTCCTTTATGAATGAGTTCGTCCACCATGTGTTAATTGGTCCATTATGAGTGAGTTTATCCATAATGGATGAATTGGTCGATTATGAATGAGTTCGTCCATCATGGGTTCATTGGTCGATTATGAAAGAGTTCATCCAGCATGGATTAATTGGTCGATTACGAATGAGTTCGTCCATAATATGTCATTGGTCTATTATGAATAGATTCGTCCATTATGGATAAGTTGGTCCACCATGGATTAATTGGTCCATTATGAATGAGTTCGTCCACTATGGGTTAATGGGTCCATTATGAATATAAAACTCATACAGATTATTATGGAAATGACTTAAGAGGCTATTTGTTTCATGTCCTTTTAATCAATTTTAATCACAATCGGTGTCATTTCATGACGTCATCGATCCCCCCCCCCGACCTTTCAGATCATTTGAAACTTCCACTGGAGAAGTTCTTGAAGCCTCTGGAGAGAGTGAGGCTCGTCAGGGCTAAGAGACGCCTCGGCCTGGCCCAGGCCCGTAACCTTGGCTACTTGTACACCCGAGGTGAGGTCATCATCTTCATGGACTCACATGTCGAGTGTCTGCCAGGTCAGTGGACCGTAATCGTGGTTTCTTTTCCAATAAAAGTCTACACATCTTTACGATTGTCATTAAACCTTCAGTAAACATTTGTGTGATGTTAGTAGGTGGGGGGAGAGGAACGAGTTCGCTGTCTATGTTCACGACTTTATATATTTACAAGAAAATGAGATGTCCATATTAATACCCCCGCCCCCTTAACCACAGGCTGGTACGAGCCGTTGGTGTCTCCCATCCGCGACAACCCGAGGACCGTCACCTTCCCCACCCTCGGCGTGATAGACCCCAACAGCTTTGAGGTGATGGAGCAGGCGGACGGACACGTCGTGGGCGGCGTCCACCTCCACTCGATGCTGTTCACGTGGTTTGAGCGGGAGCTGCCGCTGAGAAGCACCGGGCTCGACAGAGAGTAGGTCCAGTAGACAAGGGGAGAGTGACGCTGTCGTTGGGCATTTTAAGGAAGTAGTTGTTGAATCATAAGATACAGTTGGCAGGTTGCATTTCTGTTACTATTGTCGTTTTCTGTACGTTCAGCTCAAGGATTTTGTCCACGGATGTGGGTGCGTGAGTGTGGGGGTGGGGGTGTAATTAATGATTGATACCCTGTATCAACCAATGAAGTAATTGAATGAAATGGCAGAAATCAATTCTGTTAAGACAAATGAGATTATGTCCTTGCATAAAGGGTCAAAGGTTATGGGGGAAAATCGTGTTGGTTTGGGGCTGATAAGTGGTGGGGGAGAGAGAAAATATGTTGAGCTGAGATTTCGCAACTTCCCAATGCCAACATTCAACAGGCACACGAGGATGATTTTCAATACAAATTAACTCATCGATCACAGATTATCATGGAATACTTTTATTTCTTTTTATTAAATTATAATGGTAAATTATTTCACGTGACAGTCAATAAGAGCAATGCCTCATTCATACTGTCAGCTGTCTTTTCTTTATTTGACCCCCACAATAATGAATACAATAAATAAAACATATTTAAACAGTTCTGCACCTTGTACAGGTCTCCAGTGATGCCCGGAACTGTCATTGCCGTGTCCAGGGAGAGGTTCTCCGCGCTGGGATTATTTGACCCCTATTTGGAGATCTGGGGCGGCGAAAATATCGAATTCTCGTTTAAGGTTTGATTTTCAGTAAACTCTATCGCTACATGGGATAAGTTTGTTGGTCTGTGAATTGTTGCTGTCGAACGCTTCTTTGCATTGTCCTTCTCCGGGTTTTTCTCTACCCCTTGTAGATTTATTTAAGGTTTTGGGGTCTGTTTTGCTTGTATTTTACAGCATTTAATCAAGTTCTATCAAAGCCACGATAGTGACAATGAATTACTGGAAATGTATTCATTTCCATTATGTTTAGTACCAACCGAAGAATTAAACAGCCATTTACGTTATGTATTAGTTAAGTTTGTTCCATTTGTTGCGTTTACACTACATAAAGTCGCTTTAGTTCAATCTTAATTAAATATCAACATATTTCCATACTTGATGGTCTTTAAAAATTCAATCAACACTTTGCAAATTTTTCAATTAACAAAATAATTGGTAAAGCAGCTTTTAAAAGAAAAGGGAAACACATGTGTTACAATGGTTGTTTTGTTGGGTTGTTTTTTTTGTGTGTTTTTCTTTTGCAGACGTGGATGTGCGGGGGGTCAGTCCTGCAAGTCACGTGTTCTCACGTGGCACACATCTACCGGAAGCCTTTGCACGCAGACGTGGCCCGGATGTTCAGGAATTTATTTCGGGTGGCCGAGGTCTGGATGGACAACTACAAGAATTATTTCTACGAAAAACTCGTATTTTCTGTCAATACTGTTAGTATTGGTTTTAATGACCTTAAATTTTTGTGTTGCACCCAAATAGGCATATTATCACTGTTGCTCGTTGAATGAAATTAACACAGTTGAAATAAACTGTTTCTTAAAATTCGATGTCGTTAGATTATTATTTTTTTAAAAATTGCAATCAATTTGTTTTAGTTCCTATTTCGAAAACTAATTTTAGGGAGTTTAACATTTAACGGAATAGTTTCTGAAATGTTTAGCAGCGAGACAAGTATGTCCGTCAGTCTGACGTCCCATCGTCCTCCTCGCCTCTTCCACATCTCCACGCATCCCCAACCACGCATTAACTCCTTGAAGATTTCAAATTACTCTACCTCAGAATCGTAACATATTTCTTAATAATTTGTTTAGCGTCTGATGTAAGTTAAAACTCTCGACTCATCAACCCCCAGCCGAGATCCTTCAAATAGTTGGACATCCTCGTAACATTTCCAGCATTTATTATTACCTTGTATCCAAACCTCCGATTAGCAGCAAGGCGGCCACAGTGACATTACCGGCCGACTCGAGCTGAGGCAATCGCTCAGCTGCCGAAACTTTGAGTGGTATCTGAAGGAGGTCAACCCAGAGCTGGAAAGATCCATTGACCAGTACAGCATTTATTTTGGCCAGGTCTGTTGCTGTTATGTTGTTGATTTTTCTTCCTAGCAAATGTTGTTGTTTTTTGTTAATAATTTTTTAGAAAAACCTGATCCTACAAACATTTTCTAAATGTGACAAGCATAGATGGCACTGAATTAATTAGAATAATTGTAATGATAGCTCACCATCGGTTAGAGGGGGGGGGGACTTTTCTACGGCATCAGAGTTTGTTTGTTTGTTGCTGCATAACTTGATATACTGAGAGACATTTAGATGAGCATTTTTTCGATAGTCATCGCATGATTTGCAGAGGCTATTCTTTTTTATTGACAGTACGATAATGGCCCCCGTTTCTCGTGGTATGAAAACCTATAGGTTCATCTTATGAATATTACTCACGTTGCATTTGTGAATGTGACATATGGTGTGGTCTTATGAAAATGACTAATTTTATCATATGAATGAGACTGATTTACACAATTGTGTGACATTTTTTTCATCAGGTCAGGAATAGAGAATTCAATCTTTGTCTAGATGCAACCCTGAAGCTGGTGGTCCCAGAAGTTCTACCGTGTAATCTAAGCACCTTCTCACAGGTCAGTGTTCTATCAACTATTTTGGGACTGTCGCAAAACGCGTTAGTGACAAAGGAGAATAGTACGTCATTGTTGTCTGGGTCAAAGGTCGGCAGAGTAAGTTTTAACCCAAACTGGGAGATGGGAAAAAATGTTTATTTGAAAAAATAATTGGGGGTGTGAGGTTAAAAGTGAATAAACTTTTGTAGATTTTGATGGTGGGCCTTGCCTTGGACAGCCAGGAGCTAGAGAATTAACTATAGAGTTTGGGTTTTGGGAATATAACACAGTTGAGTTGAACGGTTTGAGTTGATAGGCGATTGTCATAATGATAGTTTGAGAGTTTGATAGTTTGCATTTGGTGCGTAATATTTTTTTTCTGAAATAGTTTATGCAATAAATCTGCTGTGCTAAAGTGGGTGATTCGTTTGGATATTAATATAGTTCAGAGGCACGAAAAAAATGTGCGGTTTTGAGCCCGGGGCGGGAAGGGGGGGGGGGACCTACTGGGATTCTTATAAACTGTGTTACTTGAATGCATTTTTTTTTGCTCAATTTTCAGCCCCACTTTGCCCTCACCCCCCTCCCCCCCCCCACAAAAAAAAAATCTGCTGTGCTAAAGTGGGTGATTCGTTTGGATATTAATATAGTTCAGAGGCACGAAAAAAATGTGCGGTTTTGAGCCCGGGGCGGGAAGTGGGGGGGGGACCTACTGGGATTCTTATAAACTGTGTTACTTGAATGCATTTTTTTTTGCTCAATTTTCAGCCCCACTTTGCCCTCACCCCCCACCCCCACCCCACAAAAAAATTGCTTGATGTTACATTTGATAAAGGATTTATGCGAACAAATTTGTTTTCAGTGGTTTTTCTTTCAATTATATTTCTGTCTTTCCTTTCTTCCCATCGACGGCTCTCCCCCGTGCCCTTCCATCTCCCCACGTCCCCGTGCAGGCCTGGATGTTGCGGACGGACGGACGCCTCGCGGTGTTCGGCTCCTACTTAGTCGCCCGCCCACGCAGCAACCCCATAGAGGGCTACCAGATCTACACGGTGCCGGACGTAAGTCTGTGGGCAGCGGACGGAGATCCCAACCACCAATGGGACTATGATATGGTGAGCTGGTCTGATGTTCATAGATAGGACATACATTATGAGCCCATGATACAAAGTTCCAGGAATATTTGGGTTTCATGAAAAAAAAAAATTCAAAGAAAAGAAGCAATTAAGGTTGTTCCGAATTCCGCGTAAATGGTACTTAAGGAATGTTTTGACCTGTTTAGCAATCGAGCCTTGAGTCTTACATAGCCCATGTTGTGATTGTTTTTATGTAAACTCGCCGCGCCTGTTCTTCGTCGTTAAGTTTAATGGATATGACTTTTTATTTGAATTTTTACGATGATTTTACAAATGCATTAAAACTATCCTAGAGGACAATCTCTCTTAACCTCCATCAAATGTAGGTTTTTTTTATTATTTTATCTATATAGTTTAAACTAGCTTAAGGAATCTTAAGTCGATCTATGCATTACCATTACATATATAATTGCTCACCCCATTATATTTTTCATAAAATTCTCCATTATATTTGCCATAAGAAACTCCATTATATGTATCATAATAAAGTCCATTATATTTGCAATAATAAACTCCATTATATGTGTCATAATAAAGTCCATTATATTTTTCATACTAAAATCCATATTTTTTTGTGCATTCTAAACCTCATTATATTTTCACGCTAAATTCCATTATATTTTACCATAATAAAACTCCATCAGATTTACCATAGTAAACTCTATTATTATATTTATCATAATAAACTCGGCAGCTGATATATATTTTATACATGGGATCAAGCCAGTCACTGTTTGTTACAATGCGACTAATGTCCAATTTTTTCCCACCGACAGCGGACATTTCTCTAACTGACAACCGTTTCCCCATGTTCTTTAGACTCTACAACGCGGTACTTTTAAATCTCAACGGTATTTAGTAAAGGGAAACAACAACGAAAAAATAGTTTCACAACTTCGACCACTCTATATAGAAGGGGAAGTGTTAAAGTTTCACAATTCTTATCACAAGGCCTAAAATTGGTGGTGGGGTAATTCTCACGGCTAGAGCGTGACCTCATAGATTTGATTATAAGTAGCGGATTCCTCTTGTAATTTACTTCAAGTTTACCTTCCTTATGAAATTAACTCTTTCTGGTTTTTGTCCCCCATAGCACCAACGCCTCGTTAACAGGGGGAGTGGTCTGTGCCTGGCGGTGAAAAAGTTGACCACCAACTTTCCCCTTCTGCTGGTCGACTGCACCGACGAGACGAGAGCCAGAAGATGGGTCTTTCAGACGAGAAGAGAAATGTACAGAGAATACCAGCACAAGTTTGACCTTAAGCTTGATACAGATTCCGTGTGGTAGAGTTGACCTTAAACTTGATATAGATTCAGTGTGGTAGGGTTGATCTTAAACTTGATGCAGATTCAGTGTGGTAGAGTTGACCTCAAAATTGATATAGCTTCGTGTGTGGTAGAGTTGATATTAAACTTGATATAGATTCAGTGAGGTAGAGTTGACCTTAAACTTGATACAGATTCATGTGTGGTAGAGTTGATCTTAAACTTGATACAGATTCAGTGTGGTAGAGTTGATCTTAAACTTGATACAGATTCAGTGTGGTAGAGTTGATCTTAAACTTGATACAGATTCATGTGTGGTAGAGTTGATCTTAAACTTGATACAGATTCATGTGTGGTAGAGTTGATCTTAAACTTGATACAGATTCAGTGTGGTAGAGTTGATCTTAAACTTGATACAGATTCAGTGTGGTAGAGTTTAACTGTGTGGGGTTTTTTTTTATAGTCTGCCTGCGTTGTTATCGTTTGGTTGTGAGTTTTACTATGTTGTTAAAGTCGGACTGTGTTGTGAAAGTTTGGACTGGTTTAATAAAGTTGGACTGTATTGTTAGAGTCGGATTGTTTTGGTCCACGTGGATTGCTTATGTATAGTCGGATTGTGCTTGTATGATGCTAGTGATTTATCACATAGTTGATAAACCTAAAATAAAATATTAAAATAAACACAAATATCAATAAAGTAACGGTTAAAATATTTTTAATTGTTCGAAATTTGTCATTTAGAAAGAGGTTACATTTCCAAAACCATTCGTGCTGGTGAACAGCTTAAACAGCAGATAGAACGTTACTGCAACTAAAGCTTAGGTCAGATGTCGTCGTCCCTACCACAGAGCACTTTGAAATGTAATGAAGCCATGGACGAATTGATGGGAATATGCTTGAAAAAAAACATGTAATGTAAAATACATGGGCGTGTTCAGGCGGATGACGTAGATGATAGTGACATTAACAGAATGTTCGACTTAACGGTTGGGCTAATGAGAATGTGTGGCAATGTTATTAATTCAATTAATTTATATTCATATGTATATAGGGGTGTGGTTTTTTTTTTTTTTTTTTTTTTTTTTTTTTTTTTTTTTTTTTTTTTTTTTTTTTTTTTGTTGTTTTTTTTTTTTTTTTTTTTTTTTTTTGGTTGGGGGGGGGGGTTGTAATCGTGTTTGAATAATTCTCAAATGAACTGAGCATATCATGAAACAACCAAATTCTAAAAATATCGATTATTGGGTTTTATGCTTCGCCATTTGAATATTATAAACAGCTTGCAATGACAGTGGGTAGATTTTTTTTGTTTAATTCTTTGTAAACAAGACTAGTGTGTGATAGAAAAAGAGAAGAAAAGAAACGCTTTAAGACTTGCACACAAAAGTTGTGGTCACTTATAAAATTGAATCTAAATGGTTTCTATCAACAAAAACAATTATAACGACAGGAGATTGCGAAGTTGTTATTTTTTTTATTTTTTTTTTGTATAGTTATAAATAGCCTGCGGTAAATGGTTCCAAGTAATGGCTGTTGGCTAGGTTTCTGGGAATTTACTCACTACCACGTAAAACTTCAGGGAATTTCCCGTTTTCATTTCTTTGAAGGCCTTGACCCTGAACTATCTGTTAATCAATTTGAACTCTTGCGATTGTTCAATGCACACCTTGTGTTCCAAACAGACGTTGTATTTCCACAGTGACGTAGGAAGGGGGTGCGTAGGAGGCAGTTTGCCCCAGGTGGCAAATTTTTTTCTTTATATAGAGGGGCGGCATTTTGGGCCAGCTGCAGAGGTTTTTCTTACGTTGAAGATGGGGGGGGGGGCAAAAGTTAGGACCGCCCTAGGCGGAACCAACCCTAGCCACGCCACTTTATTTACATTTAGTTCCAATCACACCTCCGTCAGAACAATCTTGTATCGTCTCTATTGTTCCAATCACACTTCCCTCTCAACAATCTTGTATAGTCTCTGTAGTTCCAATGACACCTCCGTCAGAACAATCTTGTATCGTCCTTGTAATCTCAATCATACCTCCGTCTGAACAATCTTGTATCGTCTTAGTAGTTCCAATCACATCTCCGTCTGAACAATCTTGTATCGTCTCAGTAGTTGCAATCACACCTCCGTCTGAACAATCTTGTATCGCCTCTGTTGTTCCAATCACACTTCCCTCTCAACAATCTTGTATAGTCTCTGTAGTTCCAATGACACCTCCGTCAGAACAATCTTGTATCATCCTTGTAATCTCAATCATACCTCCGTCTGAACAATCTTGTATCGTCTTAGTAGTTCCAATCACATCTCCGTCAGAACAATCTTGTATCGTCTCAGTAGTTGCAATCACACCTCCGTCTGAACAATCTTGTATCGCCTCTGCATCGAGATTCTACACCAAATGGCGATTACAACCATGACCAGCATTGGAGAAACCAATAAAATCCCGAAATAGATCGATATCTTCCCCGAGTTGATATTATCGATCTGTTCAGCGTGTCCGGGGGTACACACCGTGTCGTTGTAGACGCGACATTCGCGTAGCACAGCTTGATCTCGGGCACACCTAGAGCACACGCGACACGGACTTTGGCTTACCGGATCAGCGAGTCCCGAACTGTCGTAGAAATAACCTGGCTCGCATCTCACCACAACATCAGCCCGTCCCGTGCACATCTCCACGACGAGCCCCCGATCTTCAGCGAATCTGCATGTAACACATTCTCGACAATTGTGATGGATCTCGTCCATGAACGTCCCGTCCTGACAAGGGAGACAGGTAGAGGTGCCCTGGTCAAACCGTTGACCGGATCCGCACGGTCCCAACCCACATGCGCCTGGAGTAGTTTTTTCGTTGATGTCTTTACCCCAAATCATAACAAACTCGTTCTGTGATAGAATAAACACAAGAAAGGTCTGCCAGAGCATGATCTAAAGAAATGTGAATTTAATAATCGTGTTTAGTTCCCAAGTTGTTCGACGTCAATTTGTGAACTTTGTTTCACGTGAGTGCCGTTGTACCCACGACAATGTTCTCTGCTTTCATTTCAGTGAAGTTTTTTTTTTGGAGTTCATCAGAGCAATCGTCGAAACGCTCTGCCACCAAACCAACGATGTATTTCCTGTTACGACACGGGCAATTTTCGTACTTGTGAATTGCTGTGGCGGAGCGCCAACATATTTTGTATTTGCCTGATATACCAATCTCAATCTGCACGATGTATTGCTTGCTTGTATCGCACACTAATCGTGTGGCTGTCAACAAATAGTAATATGACTACGCTTGCCTCGTGTTCCAAGCAGATGTTTCCTTGTCTTCGCTTGTTTCTTGCTCCTAGTAGTTATTTATTTGACTACGTTTGGTTTTTTTTTTGCTCCATTCAGATACGTCTTTGACTACGCTTGTATCTTGTTCCAAGTGGATACTTCCCTTTCTACGTTGCGTGTCCCCAAAGCCGTGATATACCGCTTTGACTGTGTCATTCTGTAACAAAAGAAAGACAACAGCCAAAATAGATTACTTCCCCCTTGAAAAATTTGCAATAAAAAAAAATTCTTACGTCAACACATCACGAAATTATTTCTTCTCGTCTGAGGTTCGTTAAATCAAATCTTTGAGACTTAAATGAATCTGTGGCACGGCAAAGAAATACACATCGCCGGAACCGGGATCAACTGTCCGTTTTTAAACCATGGGCTTTATTGTTAATCAATTTACAAACCTGAACATTTTGTACTGAAACTATTGCTCATAACTGAACTTTTCATAGCTTTAAAATTATTAGATTAAGAACTATGGCGTAATTTGTTACCGCCATTTCTTATTCATTGAGTTAGAAGTAGCATCCAGGGGTAAATAATGCACACTATTGTTGTCCCATTTGTAATCTCTTTACACATTGCTTGATAGCAATCCTTTTTTAAAATTCATGACATATTTATTATATGACACAATAGATGCGAAAATATGTCCTAAATGAGTCATTTTCTTAGCACTCGTTTAATGAATGCAAGTGAGGCATACACTAGGGTGACAAAACGTCCTGTCAAAACGGGATTGTCCCGTTTTTTCACGATCGTACCCGGCAAAAGTCTCTCGGGACGCCTAAATGTCCCGTTTCTAAAACCAAACACATTTTCAAATCATTGAAATGTCCTAATTTATAATATGACTAAAAGTAATATTAGGGTTAGCTGTGTAGCCAGAACAGCACTCTGGTTTTTTGAAGATATGGCAATATGTGTTGGCAATCCCTGCCCATAATGGTAATACTGAAAGGATCTTTCATGAACATTCAATGGACGGACGAAAGAAACAAGATGAGAGGTGAGGCCCTTCCTGCAATCCTGCAAGTTTTCTACAATTTCGAAATGGACTATTCTAGTTTTTACCACTTAATATTAGATAAGAAGGAAGTTTTAACAATGGCTTGGACAACAACCAGATATCCTCAATTTAAATCCTAGACTAGATCAATTTAATTTCTTGTATTGTATTATGTTGTACAATATGTATACATAAATGAGTATTCACGTACAATATGTATACATAAATGAGTATTCACGTACAATATGTATACATAAATGAGTATTCACGTACAATATGTATACATAAATGAGTATTCACGTACAATATGTATACATAAATGAGTATTCACGTACAATATGTATACATAAATGAGTATTCACGTACAATATGTATACATAAATGAGTATTCACGTACAATATGTATACATAAATGAGTATTCACGTACAATATGTATACATAAATGAGTATTCACGTACAATATGTATACATAAATGAGTATTCACGTACAATATGTATACATAAATGAGTATTCACGTACAATATGTATACATAAATGAGTATTCACGTACAATATGTATACATAAATGAGTATTCACGTACAATATGTATACATAAATGAGTATTCACTGCAAAATTATTGTTTTCGTTCATGATATGCCTCCGAGTTTAAATTTAATGACAAAAGTGAAGGTCAATTTCTCAAAATAGTTAAAGTGAGCATATTTCAATAAACAGTTTCCCGGGGAAGCCCCCCACCCCCCCACCCCCGCTTTTTCCAAGCGCCCCCCACCCCGACCCCTCTTTATCTGGAGGTTATCCCCCCCCCAACCCTCCATGGGTGTGTCCCGTTTTTATCAGTTCATGATTTGGTCATCCTGGCCTACACCCAAAAAAATGGGGGGAAAGGGGGGGGGGGCTTTCCTTGGTATTGAAGAAGTGGTCAGTATGATGTCCAAACGAGAAATGAGATTCACTGACCTGGCTAACAGCTCAACGCACTTTGAAATGAGATTCACTGACCTGGCTAACAGCTCAACGTATGTTGAAATGAGATTCACTGACCTGGCTAACAGCTCAACGTATGTTGAAATGAGATTCACTGACCTGGCTAAGCTCAACGTATGTTGAAATGAGATTCACTGACCTGGCTAACAGCTCAAAGTATGTTGAAATGAGATTCACTGAAATGGCTAACAGCTCAACGTATGTTGAAATGAGATTCACTGACCTGGCTAACAGCTCAACGTAAGTTAAAAGGAGATTCACTGACGTGGCTAACAGCTCAACGTATGTTAAAATGAGATTCACTGACCTGGCTAACCACTCAACGTATGTTGAAATGAGATTCACTGACCTGGCTAACAGCTCAACGTATGTTGAAATGAGATTCACTGACCTGGCTAACAGCTCAACGTATGTTAAAAGGAGATTCACTGACCTGGCTAACAGCTCAACGTAAGTTAAAAGGAGATTCACTGACGTGGCTAACAGCTCAACGTATGTTAAAATGAGATTCACTGACCTGGCTAACCGCTCAACGTATGTTGAAATGAGATTCACTGACCTGGCTAACAGCTCAACGTATGTTGAAATGAGATTCACTGACCTGGCTAACAGCTCAACGTATATTGAAATGAGATTCACTGACCTGGCTAACAGCTCAACGTATGTTGAAATGAGATTCACTGAACAGGGTAACAGCTCAACTTATGTCTCAGACCTTATCAGCACCAGTCAATCATTTCGGAAAAAGCAGTCAACAATGTCGAGTGTAGATTTAACTCTACTAGGGGAAGGGAGGAGTGGAAGGAGGGGTGGGGGGACTACACAGACGGCCGTGGAAAAGTTTTCGTGAAAATTATTTTTCCGTGAATTAAAAAAGTCCCCAACACGTAATTTGGCAAAGTGACATCAGGGGTTTAAATCCAATTATTGTGACGCATTGTAGTGAGAATTTTTAATCATTTTTTTTTTACGTTTAACTACATTCTAAGTGGTATCAACACACCCAAAAATAATGTTACTAGCAGCAATGGAAGAGCTTGTTATAAAAGTTATAATGATGTCAGCCAAATAGTAAATGGAGCATTCTTTCTTTTTGACTATGTTATTAATGTTACTAGAAACAACATTCCTCGTGCAGTCCTCTTCACGTCCACTTGACGTCCTCTTGCTGTGCTCTTGCTGTCCTCTCGGTCTCCTCTCGCTGTTCTCCCACTGTCCTTCTGCAGTCCTCTCGGTCTCCTCTCGCTGTTCTCCCACTGTCCTCCTGCTGTCCTCTTGGATACTGCATTGCTGCTAAGCGTTGTTGTTTTTTTAATTTTTTAATTTGTTTTTAGTGTTGTTTTTTCGCTGGAAAAGGCTTCTGGGGGAAGATCATGATAGTTTTACATTTAGGAAAGCCATTCAGACAACCAACATTTCAGACATTTGTTGTAGGGGGGGGGGGCCTGGGCATAGAATCAGGGTCAACAAAAAATAATTAACACAAGAATATGTTACTTAATAAGTCGGAGCTATAAATGGAGCAAGTTCTGTGCCAACTATGGTGAACGCTGGTCTAGGATAGTGGTAGACAGCACTGGTCTAGGATAGTGGTAGACAGCACTGGTTTACGGTAATGGCAAACGACACTGGTCTCGGATAGTGGTAGACAGCACTGTTCTAGGATAGAAGTAGACAGCACTGGTCTAGGATAGAAGTAGATAGCACTGGTCTAGAGATGTGGTAGACAGCACCAGTGAAGGGGTAGTGGTAGACAGCACTGATCTAGGGTAGTGGAAGACAGAACTGGTCTAGGTCAGGGGTAGGCAACACTGGTCTAGGTCAGGGGTAGACAAACTGTTGCCCCACGAAATGGATGCGGCTCTTGTTTTTACGTATCAATAATGCAGACATGCGGCGCCAACACTGTTTTTTTAAGCAGATTTATAAAATCATAAGTTGTATTTTTTTGTATTACCACTTCACACAGTCAGACAAATGATCTACCCATGGGCTAAAGCATTACCTAGCGTTATCTCATTTAATGGTCTCTGTACTGGAAACTTTTTTGCCTAATTTTTTTTTTTTTTAATTTTCGCAAAGGATGACAAATTGTTCTACATTTTGTAAAGGTCTTTCGTTGACTATTTCCCCACAACAATATCATCAAAATGAAATATACAACTCTCTATAGAATATAACCAAAAGGCAACTTTGCGTGTATCTGTCATTTAGATTCCCAGGGAGCACAATTTGAGATCAGTCGATAAAGAAAACAGCAAACTAACATAAAAGGGGGCAGAAGGGGACCATTGGTCTGTAGTTTATTTTTGACCCAGTCGTTTTGGGGGAAAATCCGTTTGACACTTTTGTTTCGTATATAATCTATAATTAAACCACATCAGCTGTTATAAAATAGCTCGCCAGTCAAATAACTAACAAAACTATTTAAAACTTCATTGGCTGTCGTCCCTCGCGGAATTATCAGCGGATAACACTGAAACCGCACAAAGTGTTTAAGAAATATTAAGCTACACTATCAGAGACAAAGGTAAGTGACGCTCCTAATCTCATAACACAATCGTTAGGGAAGAGTTTGTCCTACTTCTCTTCACATGAGTGTTGAAAGAGTTTTCCTATTTCTCTTAACATGAGTGTTCAAAGAGTTTGTCCTATTTCTCTTCCCATGAGTGTTGAAAGAGGTTGTCCTACTTCTCTTAACATGAGTGTTGAAAGAGGTTGTCCTATTTCTCTTAACATGAGTGTTGAGAGAGTTTGTCCTATTTCTCTTACATAATAGTTGAAATAATTTGCCCCATTTCTCATACATGAGTTTTGAAAGAGTTTACTTTTTGGGTGATGGGGATTTTGGGGAGTCAAGTAAACATATTTATATGATTAAATTTTTTGTTTTTTTAAATCGGAAGGCGAAGCGTGTCTTTCCTTTCTAATGTGCACCACCGTGGGTTGTTAACAACACACTGGTTATCTGTTGTACAATCTTCCATTTATCCTGTATGTACAATAACGTCCACGCAGAAAGGGCTATATATCTTTATGGGTTTTCAAAATTGGTATTTACTTATAAATCGTATGTAACCAACATAATTGTTAAGAAGAAATGAGTTGTTTACAAAAGACATAATATTTATTAATGTGTGATTAATTTAAACATTGGGACATTTTGAACCTAATGAGTATCAAAATCATCAAACAAAGCTTATGGAATAATAATTACGGGGCTGGGGTGGTTTGGGGGGGGGGGAAATATTAGGGTGTCTGCCCTCTCGTTCTGCGTCATCTCAACATGACAAGGGATCCTCTTTCCGCCTCTTGCATGGATGTCTTCTACTGTCTCCAGAATCTTGCTTGTTGCTATAGCTTCCGTCCCAGCTCATAACCACACTTTCATGAGCAAAGCGTGAGTCGGTCAAAACGAAAATGTTTATGAAAACTTTTTCCCCATTTTTCACATGATACCAAATATTTCTATACTAAAATACGTTGTATATGTTAAGCAAAACCACCACATTTTGGTCAATACAAAAAAAGTATTGTTTTAATTCGTATTTATTGTAATAGTTTAGACGTTACTCCTACGAACTATTTCTAATGGCATCAACGCACTGCATCCAACCCCCCCCCACACACACACACAGATGAGGGTCCCCTACCAGCCCCCCGCCAACCCCACGCGTCACATCAACCCGATCCTCGTCATCGTACTGCGCGAGCACACCGTGGGGGACCTTGACTCGGACGAGGTCATAGTCAGGTGCACGCTGCGAGAACCGTCCGTGTTCACGGCCACCTACTGTCGTGAGCTGCTGCTCCGTTGGATCACCAAATATGCGGGTGAGTCGTTGATGGGTTGGGGTTAGGGTGAGGGTCAGGCTTGTTTACGTCTAGGGGCGAAGGGGGGTGCGCATGGGGGTGCGGAGGGGGGAGATCCGCCCTGGGTGGCACTTTTTTCCGTACATGTAGAGACAGCGTTTTTGAGCCCACTGTAGAGATTTGTTTTGTCAAGGAAAGGGGTGGCAAAACACTATACCCGTCCCGGGTGGTACTTACCCTAGCTACGCCGCTGAATACATATATATATATATATATATATATATATATATGGAAAACTCCCATAAAACTTTTTATATAATATGTTATTAATAATGTTAATGTTTCTTTCATTTATTTAAGCTGTTCCAATACAAGCATCCTGCATCGGCTGAATGCATCAAGAATCAGATTGCTGTCAGAGGATAGAAACAATCGCCTTTCTTCGATTCACTTGTAAAACAATAAATTTAAATACAATGAACTCTTTCTTGTTCTACAAAATGAAAATAACATTGGCAAACACTTAAAGATCGGTTTTGGGGCCCACTACATCGGTTCATTGAACAGCCTTTTAAAAAACAAACGGAAACAATGGAGTTATTTGCTAGCTGGGGCTATACCGCATTGGTTCTAATTTTGGCCGTGTCCCCAATCGTGGACGCTCAACCAACAGGCGACGCGGCTCAAGAGTTAGCCCTCTGCGCGAACGAGACGTGCCAGGCGGGAGAATTCTTTGACCACAGCATTGGTCGCTGCGGGCCGTGCCCACCGGGTACCTACATGGACGTGGGTGACCACAACTGTTCGAGCTGCAAACCGTGCACTCCGGTGGACGCCGCGGCCGACCGGGAAACTTTAGTGACGTCATGCACGCGTCAAGCCGACACCGTCATCGGATGTCAGCCCGGGCGCTACATGGTCAGGCGTCGCGTGGATCTCTTCACGGTCACGTCCTGTCATCTGTGCGGCGACTGCGCCGAGGGGGAAAAAGTGGTGCGCGAATGTGGTGGGTTCGATGACGTGGTGTGCAGCTCGGGCGCGAACAGCAAACCCGGCCCATACGCAATCCTTATTTTCGTCACGGTCGTGGCGATGCTCATTTTGGTGGTGATCTGTGTGATGAAATTCAAACTTAGCCTCGCATTAGCCGGCTCCTTGAGGGAGCATTTTCAAGTCAAGCCCTACAAGGAGCGACCCACGTTTTCCAATGTCTGACTATCTGTATTGTGGACCACTTGCTCTAACACTGCTATTCAATGATAGCTTACATAAACGTAGCTTCTAAATTGGTTTTAAAAAATGCTAACGTTTGCCACACGGCAAGGGGGAAAGAAAACGTCTATTGGTGTCCTCGGTGTTTAGGATGTGTACGATGCATTGAATGATAATCTAAGATTATTGAATGCTTATCTAAATCTAAAAGGGGTAGCCTATAACTATCATACACGTGTATTTTTGGACAGCCTTACATTCCCTTAAAACAGTCGGGTATAACAGAAATATCCCTTTAGCCCAACAAGCGTAACAAAGAAATCACTTTTGCCAAACGAGTGTAACAAAAATATCACTTTCGAAAAACGAGCGTAACAAATCACTTAAGACAAACGGGTATAGAAAAAAATATCACCTAGGGCAGAGGGTCTTAACCTGGGTTCGATCGAACCCCAGGGGTTCGGTGAGTCAGTCAGTCTCAAGGGTTAGGCGGAGGTCCCAAAAAAAATCAGAATTAAAAAAATCATATTTTATTTTTCCTATTATGAAGGGGTTCGGTGAATGCGCATATGAAACTGGTGGGGTTCGGTACCTCCAAAACGGTTAAGAACCACTGACCTAGGACAAACGGGCGTTAAAAAAATATCACTTTCGCCTAACGGGTGGAACCAACAAAAAGTTCAATAATAAAAAGGCTGAGCAGTATTTAGGTTAAACATTATTGCAAATAACAGTTACGTTACAACATGTTCATTATTGGAAACCTCCGTTAGGTTTCTAGTATTTATTAGCGGAATTCCCGAAACGTTATTTTGACATGCTGTTCTAAACTACGTAGTATTAATGGTTTCATTTGAAAATCAAGTATATAAATCAGAATTATGCATTAAAAAGATATGGTGCTCGCCGGATCAGAGCCAAACCTGTCGATGTTTGAGTTTCATGTACGTTACATTCCTTGACGTCATGTGTGTTCAGACAGAGCTGTTACCGGGAATGCCCAGATCCTACCCTTATGTAAGTCAATCGGTAAGATGGCCAATGTTGGCCTGTGGAAACATTAATTTCATTAGACTTGTTTATAATATTATAATGCACATGTATTATTGATTTATTTTTAAATTATTCTTTTGTAAAAAAAAATATATATATAAATTTCAATCGATTGATTATCGAACAAAATAAAAAGGAAGGTACCACTTCAATTAAGACTTAAATTAAATTAAGTTACATTAAAATTTTAATATCCAATCAACAAGGGGAATAAAAATGTTTCAAATATTTGTTTAAATATATCGCTTAAGCCTGAATGTTTACATTTGCATCAAGTAAAAGGGTAATTTTTTAAGAAATCTAATTAGTAATACATAGTTTAGAGATCAAGAATACGATAACTCCAGTAATTTCAAATGTAAATTTTCAGATTGTAGTAAGTATAAGTTTATGTTATAGGTAATGTTAAGTATGAGGTTATGTTAAGAATAAGGTTATGTTAAGTAGGTACATGTATTTGGTGACGTAAGGAATAAGGGGATGTTAAAAAAAATATAAGGTGATTTACAATTTAACTTGATGTAAATTATTAGTTGATGAAAAGTGTTAGGTTATTTTGAGTGAATTGTGATGGTGCAAAGCATGGTAAATGCAGCAACAAAACTTAATTACTAGCCAAAGAGCAGCAGTTGACATTCGTGTGCCTTAGTGCAATTATTTAGTTTATATTTCTTGGAACAATTGTTAGACACGTCACATCATCTAACTTCACAACTTATAACACTGTGCGCTATTCTAAATGTAATTTTAAGACACATCACACCGTCTAAAAGTAATTTTTCAACAACAAAAAATAATGTTTATAATGACATAAAATCCACATTTGCTTACTTGTATAATATTCCCACTTAGGCTTAGGGTATGTTTGTGAGTTTTAACAAATCAATCTGTAATAGTAATAGCAATATATAGAAGACGTTAAAAAAAATGGGGTAGGGGAGGGACTAAATTTAAAAATACTTTACTTAGGGGCGTCATATTGTCATTTGTCGTTTTAAGGATCGTAACATCTAGTACTTATGACGGCTAAAATGAAATAACCGTAATATTAGGTTAGTTGAACATATTCTTGGGGCAAAAGTTCAGCAAACGGGAATTCAACAACACTCAAATCGGGTATTCCCCGAAACTGCCTCGGGAGCTTTATCAAAATAAATGTAAAAACAGTTTACTAATTATGGTAATTTTTTTTCGTTTATTATTTCATTCATAAGTTATATGATATTAATTTTACTCATTTATATACACTATTGTGAACATGTTTACCAGTTGTTGCTTTTTTTTTATTTTATTTTTATTTCAAATAATATTTTCCCAAACAAAATTGATTTAATTGGTTGAATATGCCTTATGCGATTGATCATAGTCATAGCATTTATAAGGATTTATTTCAACTACATTTATCTGTGCGTCTCTTTATTTCAGTCCAATATTCCACTTCTAGTGCACCCACTGTTAGTCTTTTCATTTTTTGATACTGATACATATTTTTTTTTTATTTTTTTAATATTTTAACGTTTTAACTTATGACGTAATTTAAAAATCAATTTAAGAATGTGTACGATTATATTTACGATTAACACGGGTGTACAGATATTTTGAGGAGTGGGATATGATTAATATTCAGTGGCTACATTTTTCTGTGGTTGTGATAATAGTATCTTTAAATAATTCATTTTTTCCCTACTTCAAAAAAAAAGTGGATAGATTCACCTAACTATAATTATTTTACTTAGAACCATTCTGTCTTTATATAGGCCTACACATATTTCTTTTCATTTATGTTTTCTTCTCCACAACATTGGTTTATGCCAAATACTTCAGTCATATGAGTGTTTATTATTTACGACATGACACCACTAAGTCTGCTGGCACAGTGGTCCCTGGTTTTTTTTTCAAATCCAATACTTCTGTCCTATGATTGTTTCTTAATATAAGACATGACACCATGAGGTCTGCTGGCACAGCGGTCCCCATTTACTTTAACGCAATGGCCCCGTCGTACAATTATTTTTAATACGGTGAACTCGTGCAACTTTCTAAAAGAAATAAAGACTTTAGAGGCCTAACCCTCGTGAAAAAAGAAATTGCTGGGACCCTTGCGTTGTCGGCATGTCCTGGTCAAATGGAGCATTCGGTTTGTAAAAAAAAATCCCTTTATGTCTACCCGACCTTTATATTGCATTGTTTTTATGTATATATAAACCATATTTACAGTTATCATCAAATTAAACATGAGATTGTGCAATTGCCTAACACTTTGAGAAAGACTGCATTTCTAATTATAGAAATATGATGCAAATGGTTTTTGTCAAGTTTTTTTTTTTTTAAAATCTAAATCATTATTAATTGTACAAATTTTCATTTTCAAACATTCGTTAACTAAACATTAAACTAAATAACGATTAAATTTCAATGCTTTCTTTATTTCAGTTATTTATTTATTTTATTTTTGTTTGTAATATGGCTCATCTTTACATGCCAAATTATGGTATTTATGAGGAGTCGATTATGGTGTGATGGAATGGCTCCTGACTCAGTCCCTTATAAACCGTACAGACATCAAGAGTTATGCCTACCATTTGAGGGCATTTTGACATGTAGCAGCAATATTAGTAGTAATAGCAATAGTAGTAGTAGTAGCAGTGGTAATGGTGAGACTTTGGGAATTTCCGTTTGTCAATTTGAATTATTGGAGACTTTGGGTATTCCCGATTTTAAATGTAATTATCGGGGAAAACGCATTAATTTGGTGTAAGAACAGGTACCGGTAAGTAACTTTTTGTTAGTGCAAATCGTATTATCCTTGCATTTATATTTATTTTAGTTATTTATTTGTGGGGGGGTGGTAGTCTTTTGATCTTTTACTTAGTTAATGACTACCAACAAAATGTAACAAACTTCCTAATCAGATTTATTGACTGAGACTCTAAGAACATCTAAGATAACTTCACTGACCTCAAAGCCATGACAGTTGACAGTTGACCGGGTTGGCTGAAGGACACGACAACAGTAAATAAGACATGTTAACACAAGTGCAGACACGTAAAGGTTAAATCGTTGTTGCTGTTTTTTTTTTTTAATATGGATAACTGACCTGGTGAAAATGCCATAATTACAGCCTGATTAAGTAAGTTTAGTAAGGAATTGAAAGAGAATAAACTTTTGAAATGCTGTACTGTGGGAAAAATGACATCGGGATAGACATGACATCATTTAACATAATAATATGCGTATTTTAATCATATGTCTTTAATATATGGGGATTATGAAAAATACTTTGAAAGATTAACATAATCTGCTTTGTTGATGATTGCTCTCATATTGTTTAAACAAGAGGAATAATAATTACAAAGTTTATCTAACAGTTCATGTACACTACATCTGTATCTAAAACAAATTACTGTTAAAAAACGGAAATCCCCATTGTTTTGCAAAATAAAAAATTAAAAACTCCACACACAAACAAAAAGAGGTCAATGCTCCTCACCCTAGGAATCTGCGCCAAATCTTGGACAAACAAAGTCAGACAATGACAATTATTTTCATAAGTATGTTGTTTTGCTTGGTTGTCTTCCTTGTCTTTATGTTCTTCTAGAACGGCGGTTCTCTACCCGTGGGTCGCGACCCATTTGGGGGTCGCACGACCTATTCCCAGGGTCGCCTCAGACCATCTGAAAACACATATGCTCTACATTTATGAAGTAACAACGAGCATAATTTTTTGGCTGGGGGTCACCACAACATGAGGAATTCTATTAAAGGGTCGCAGCATTAGGAAGGTTGAGAACCAATTTTCTAGACCTTGTTCCTCTTGTATGTGTGTGTTTTTCTTGTATGTGTGTGTTGCTCTTGAATGTGTGTGCTACTCTTGTATGTGTTTGTTACGCATGTGTTTGTACTCCTGTATGTGTGTGTGGCTCTTGATGTGTTCCTCTTGTATGTGTCTTTCTTGACTGTGTTACTCTAGATCAGCGGCTCTCAACCTGTGGGTCGAGACCCCTTTGGGGGTCAAACGACCCTTACACAGTGGTCGCCTAAGACCATCAGAAAACAGATATTTATGAAGTAGCAACGAAAATAATTGATGGTTGGGGGTCGCCAAAACATGGGAAACTACATTAAAGGGTCGCGATATTAGGAAGGTTGAGAACCTCTGCTCTAGAAAATGATCATCCTGAATATAAGTGAGTGGGTAACCCAAAAAAAAGTAACTATTTCAAATGGAACTCCTCCTGGACATTTTTTTAAAGCCTAACATAACTTCGTGTACTGCCTAAGCGAGTCAACCTTTCAGATAGCCACTTGCTATCATGCGACCTTAAACCATATCTATTTCCGCTACTGTCCGTTTAAGCGGAATATCCATTTTTTTAATGGCAACAGCGTAAAATATAATCAGTTTACTTCTTTTCAGGTTACTCCAGGATTGACGTCACAGACTATTATTTAATTGAGCTTTAACGCCTGACTTTCGAAATACTCCACCAAGTATACAAAGTATACAAAGTATATACGTTGTTAGTTTTTAAAATGGATGCCATCAACCCATCAGCCCTTGCAGTCAAAGAAAGTCCATGAGGAATGAACAGCGCCATCTTTCTTGTCGTCTTGATTACGTCAAGTGCACGCGCTGCTGAGAACATGCTGCTCGAAGACTGCGATGTGGGAACGTGCGGAGAGGGCGAGAGATTCGACGTCAAGCTGCGGGCCTGCCAGCCGTGCGATCGGGACACGTACATCGACATCTCCAACCACAGCTGCGAAGACTGCAGAAACTGCACGCGAGCGGACCGGTACGACGGGGAAATCGTTGTCGCCAACTGCACGGCTGTTGCCGACGCCGTGATCGGTTGCCACCATGGCTACTTCATGGTGGTCAACCATCTGGCAGAGAAGGACCTTTCTTGCGAAATCTGCAAGCGGTGCAATGCCGAGGAAGTTGTCGAACAGAATTGCACCGAGCGGAACGATACGGTCTGCACGAGACGTGAATCGGCGGGACTGGATGTAAGAAATAGAGCATCTTCAAACAACATCCCTACAGTTATAGTTGCTTCAGCGGTGGCGTTGGTGGCGGTCGTGATTTGTTGTGTTTTCTTAATCGCCGCAAGACGGCGCATCAAAGCAGTTTGCAGATGCGTTAAGCTCCCGTGCCTAAAGGAAAGAACAGAGCGTACAATGCGAAAAGCATTGATGGAAAGTAAGTAGGCCTACGTATAAAAGATTGAACTTCATGCTGATTGTGAGACGTCAGCGATTAAAATTCTTATCAAATTATAGTTGCTTTAAAATTTAAGACAATAATTTTATTTTATTTTTGTGTATTCTAGCTTTAAACGGCGAATAAAAATGGATGAATTTGTTCTGCTTGTATTAACATAGATTATTTGTTTCCTATTGTTCGATGTTCTAGGCGACAGTACACCAGAACTGTGCGAGAGTGCAATCTAGACACAAGAATTGTGCGGGAAAAATCTGGACAACAGAACTTTGCGAGGGAGAAATCTAGATACCAGAACTGTGCGATAGGGGAATCTAGACATCAGAAATATGCGAGAGTTAAATCTAGATATCAGAAATGTGCGATTGTGAAATCTATATATCAGAAATGTGCGATTGTGAAATATAGACATCAGAACTGTGCGAGAGTGAAATATACACATCAGAAATGTGCGATTGTGAAATCTAGACATCAGAAATGTGCGAGAGTAAAATCTAGACATCAGAAATGTGCGAGAGTAAAATCTAGCCATCAGAAATGTGCGAGAGTGAAATCTAGACATCAGAAGTAAGCGAGAATGAAATCTAGACATCAGAAATGTGCGAGAATGAAATCTAGACATCAGAAATGTGCGAGAGGGAAATCTATACATCAGAAATGTGCGAGAGTGAAATCTAGACATCAGAAATGTGTGAGAGTGAAATCTAGACATCAGAAATGTGTGAGAGTGAAATCTAGACATCAGAAATGTGCGAGAGTGAAATCTAGACATCAGAAATGTGCGAGAGTGAAATCTAGACATCAGAAATGTGTGAGAGTGAAATCTAGACATCAGAAATGTGTGAGAGTGAAATCTAGACATCAGAAATGTGTGAGAGTGAAATATTTTGGTGGATACAATTTTTTAGGAAAACATTCAAGACAAGAAAAATAAATAAAATCATGGGAGCTCATTAATTAGACAACATCATGGGAGCTCATTTGTGAGACAACATCATGGGAGCTCATTTGTGAGACAACATCATGGGAGCTCATTTGTGAGACAACATCCTGGGAGCTCATTTGTGAGACAACATCCTGGGAGCTCATTTGTGAGACAACATCCTGGGAGCTCATTTGTGAGACAACATCCTGAGAGCTAATTGGGGAGACAATATCCTGAGAGATCAATGTTGAGACAACACCACGGGATATCATTGGTGAGACAACGCCAAGAGAGATCATTGGTGAGACAACACTATGAGAGATCATTGGTAAGACGACACATAAGAGATCATTGGTGAGACAACACCGTAAGAGATCATTGGTGAGACAACACCATAAGAGATCATTGGTGAGACAACACCGTAAGAGATCATTGGTGAGACAACACCATGATAGATCATTAGTTAGACAGCATCGTGAGAGCTTATTAGAGAGACAACATTATAAGGTTAACCCAATCCGGCAATACCTATCATCGTACGATCTGATGATGTACGCTTTGCAAATCTTTTGACATGTCCAGCAATGGTTTAAGATTCAGGTAAATTTGATTGGGGGAAAAAAGGAAAAAATACTTGACTAGAAAGAAGAGGTGTGTGGACTGAAAAATGCTGTGACCAAAATATTTTATTACAATAGCTCAATTATGATACTTTTTTTTTTTTTGGCTTTTGAAAATTTTGAAAAATATTTTAATGTGTGAAGTCTGAAGTTTTAAAAATAACAGCCAATTAAATTTTTAATTAAAATTTACTTTTCATATTCAATTCCGAATGTTATTATTTTATGTATCTCTTCATTTTTATGTAGCAAAGATTTTTGCTCTTATTATTAAAAATGTACATTAATTCCATGTTTTTTAAATTGTAAATTTTAATTTTTAATTATCATTTCAAATAATTTAAGACTAAGTCTGTCACTTATATGTATCATTTTTAAATAGAAATTCAAAAATTTATAATAAACTTTTTTTTTTTAAATAAATATATTTCAATTTATTTTTTTTTATTTTTTTATACGGGAGTTAATGTTGGTAATCGTCATTTTCACTTTAGAGATTTTGGTGGGCGCCCTCGATTACCAATCGTTCTTCCGTAATACTTCTCAAAATTACTTCAATACCATTTTTTTTCGCTCAGTTCATCAGATCTGTAATTATCTATTTAGCAATTTAAGTTAATTTTTTTTTTTTTATTAAAGCGATCTTGAATACCAATGCCACTCAAAATATAAGCACTGATGTTAAATCATTTTTTTTTTAATATCGCACGTGCGTTTGGTGCGTAATGTTTTCTTATGTTTTTTTCTGAAATAATTGTTGATATAAATCTGTGGTGTAAAAGCGGCTGACACATTAGAATATTAACATAAAGTAAAATAATTGTTTAAAATGCATTTAAACGATGTTTACCAAAAACTTTGTTTTCTAGAGGTTGTTTAATTTTATCTTTAAATTATCCCGAATAACTATAATTATTATCGATGGTTTCGAATATGTAAGCTCAAGATGACTTTTCGCACCAATCTGTTTTCTTTAAAAACCCATAAAGCCGCACATTTGAATTGTGTTTAGTACTTTAAAAACAGGAGATGTAGTCAGAGAATAAATATGTAAGTTTTTCTGTAAGGATCCACTAGAACAAGACTGTCAGACTCATCAAGAATCCCCTATAACCAGGCGGACAGACGCGGCAAGTAGGAGTTGAATGGCTGGTCAACACTGTGGTATACTTTGTCGGCCATACTTTATCCAAGCATACTATATACTCGTTTATGTTTGTATGTATTGCCAAGCAGGTAATTTAATAATACATTTCCAAGTCGCCTGTCAATCATTATTTTTTTTCTTCTGAATTTATTTCGATTTTTACCTGTTTCGTTCCGCATTTAAAATCTTACGTGTGTCTGAAATCAATGAATAATTAAATGAATTCACTGAACTGTCTCTGATGTTTGAAAAAAAAACACTTAATTTAAATAAATAAAAATCTAAACATTTTAATAGACGTTACCAGGCGTGGGCATTCAAGGTCCTGAACATTAAAGTTATTACCAGAACCACTGCATCCATTTACTGTTGCTAAATCTATTTATAACATTCAAATCAGGGGAGCATAAGAAGAGACACAATACATAATACCTCCAATTAAGTCCCTGCTCTCTAAATAAAGAAAAAAAAATAGCTGTTATTATGAGTGACGGAATTATTCCTTGAAATATTTTGAAATTATTTAGTTTTTAATTAATTAATTTATTTTTTTCCTGAGGATGTCTAGTCCTGAATAAAGTATCCCATGATTAACCACGCTGCCAGTGTGCTGCAGGTGAGAGCCCGCACGATCCCATTGTACACGCATGTGCAAACACGGGTGTCTTGAAGTTGTGCTTCGATGGAGATTACCCCGGCCTTTTTTTTTGGATGGGGTGTGTTAATATTACATTCCGGCAACCTCTCTTGTGTTTTTAGTAGTACAGACAGCACAAGGATTTCATCCACTGCCCGTGTCGCACATCACTGCTTTCCGAATCAATAAATGGGAAAAGTTTCGGCTAATTCTTGTTCCCACCCCAAAATCATAATTTAAAACCCCTAACGCCAGCCCCACCCGCTCCCCTTGGCCCCAGGAAGACTAACACCCACACCAAAGTTTCGGGTATCCTCCCATCTTCCTGATGTTCCCCAGACAGGAGGGAACTGTTAAAACTGCTCAGCGACAGACGGTGGCCATGGTTTGGCAACTGTCACAGACGATGCACAGCCAACAGCGCCGATTGTTACAACCCTAGGCAAGTCGTAAGTTTATGATTGTTACAACCCAAGGCAAGTCGTAAATTATGATTTTTACAATCCTAGGCAAGTCATAAATTATGATTTTTACAATCCTTGGCACGTAGTAAATTATGATTGTTACAATCCTAGGCAAGTCATAAATTATAATAATTGCAACCCTAGGCAAGTCATAAATTATAATTATTACAACCCTAAGAAAGTCATAAATAATGATTATTACAATCCTAAGAAAGTGATAAATTATTATTATCATAATCCTAAAAGTCATAAATTATGATTATTGCAATCCTAAGGAATTCAAAAATTATGATTATTACAATCCTAAGAAAGTCATAAATTATGATTATTACAATCCTAAGAAAGTCATAAATAATGATTATTACAATCCTAAAAAAGTCATAAATTATGATTATTACAATCCTAAGAACGTCCTAAATTATTACTGTTATGTTTATTTATTTATTTTTTTACTTTACATACACTATCAAAAAGTTGTTGCTCACTGGTATTGGAGTTGTCTTTATTTTGTACACCTTAGCGGCATAAATATATTTGTGTTTTTTTTATTTTACCAAATATTTGGATGCTGTAGCGTTTGCCTTGTGATTATGTAAATCTCATCTTATCATTATCAGTCAAAATATAGTTTAAATGTGGATTGTATCCGATCTAATCGTAATGGACTCTCTGTTTTTATGTGCCATTACTAATTTTAATCTCTGTGTCATAGACAATCTGGAGAATTGTGACACATAAGCTTTTTCAAATGTCAAAATATGCCCCGCTTAAAATACAATCAAATAATACATAATGCTGATAAATTCCAAAACGAAAAAAAAAAATTCAGGTCAAGACGCAGAAATGTTCCAATGCATGTTGCCTGTCATAGAATCTAATCCATCCCTGTGTAGCCACAACCCATGTAGGTCTTTGGGGTGCCTCACCCACTTCCTCCCATTCAGAACAAACTGGATTTTTTATCTTTCCCGTGCATGTGGTCTCAGATCTTTTCCCACTTAATTCATTCATCTAAACCTGGGTCTTCCTTTGAGCCATTTTCCTCTGGGGCGTTTTGGTGATGCAACCTCTCCGCTCCTCTGTCATTTTGACATTCTTTCAAAGTATCCCGTCCATCATAGCCTGCCCTTTTTTATTTCTGCTACTAGCGTGGGATCCAGATATATTCTCTACACCTTCTGGTTAGTTCGCATTCTCCATCAATATTCATCCACTGTTGGTCAGTATATTTCCCGGAGAACTTTCCACCCCCATGTGTTTAATAGAATCTCTGCCGTTTTTATTAGGCTCCACGTTTCACTTGCTTATGTTACAACTGGTCTTTTACAATCTTATGTATAGTTTCTTTGTTGTTCTTGTTTCCAAACAAACTCACTTTAAAAAGAAACTGATCCATTTCGTAGCTATGTTACGTCAGAAAACAACTCTTGAAGACGTGCATCATAAATTAAACGGTTTCGTTCTTTCCGCAGACATGACATCGCAGAGTCGGTTCTGGAACGAGCTGGTCTAGACGGGTACACGACGTTAGAAACTGATGTAGAAGTATACGTTTCCGCCCCTGCAGGTATTTCTATACAAACAAAATTATTGAGGACGCACGTGGATATCAAATCATGGTCAGGCAGGGATCTCAAACTATGCTTATCTCGGGTGATGATGTCTAATTTATTTTTTATTTTTTAAAATGTAAGATCCTTTATTTTATCTTCGCTTTTTTTCGTCGGTGGCTGGCTGACTGACTGGCTGGCAAGCAGGCAAAATCTTTGGATGGCTAAAGAACCCACTTCCCGTCAACTTATCGAGCTGAAACTTGGCCCGTAGACTCGTTGCCGATGAAAACACATTCTATTAAATGTTTAGCCCCACCCTCCAACCAACTACCCCCCCAACCAAAAAAAAAAAAAATTCCCAAAAGCTTCCTGCCATTAGAAGGATAAGTTTTAATGCACACATTTAACGTTCCTTAATTAACCTTTTACATCCCAAAAACAAGTAGTCTTCCTCAGTTAACCCTTCACATCTCAGAAAAAAATAGTCTTTTTAGTTGATCTTTTACATCTTAGAAACAAGTATTCTTCATTAGTTAACCCTTTCCATCCCAGAAACAATAGGTCTTCCTTAGTTAACCCTTTACATCCCAGAAACAAGTAGTCCCTCTGATTGTGACTAAATGCCTCATGTCCAGTTACAGTGCGTGAATCTTTCCAGATATTGTGGACATATGTGGAAAGTCTGTGCGCATGCCGGAGGTGAACCTGTTCAAACTTGACCCGGATGGAATTGTGACAGTGAACCAACTGCGGGTAGGCTCAACGTACCCCACTTTTGTCATGTTAGGACCTCATGCTAGGCACAAAGGTGTCTGATCTTTTCATGTTACCATCTTATGCTAGGCACAAAGTGTCTAATTTTTTCATGGTAAGATCTCATGCTAGGCACAAGGTGTCTTATTTTTTCATGTTAAGATCTCATGCTTGGCACAAAGTGTTTTATTTTTTTCATGTTACCATTTCATGCTAGGCTCAAAGTGTCTCATCTTCTCATGCTAACCATCTCCTGCAAACTGGTTTTATTTGAACTTAGCTTTCACAAACAACTTCTAGGAGTAGTGGAGCAAATAAAACGTCACCCCCCACACCCCCCCCCACTTGATCCAACCGTCTCTCCCATTAAAGCGATCTATTTTTAGAAATGTCGTTTTTTTTTTCACCCCTAATGTTATTACGTTGAGAATTTCACACGATAAAACAACCCTTCCACGTCACCAGAGTGGCGCCGAGATTTACCGTGAGCGCCCGGATGTACACTGGAACGCGATACCGGACGAGCGGTACTGGCTCATCTTCTGGGATGTTGGACTGTTGAAAATACGGGGCTGGTGGT